TTTGGGGCCCTAGTTCCCGATTTTGTATATAAGTAAGGTACCCCTTAATGCAAAAACCCCCCTTAATGCTAAAATCTCGAGCCGTTCCCTATAGTGCCGGAATTACTTGTATAAACAGGGGTATCTACTGTACAGCAGCGGGCTAATTGTTAAGGTAGTGAACGTCCCGCCCGCGATAAGGGGCAGCCGGGGGCTTTTTGTGGCTGTGGCTTAGTCTCAAGTCTGGACACTGTGCGGCTGTGCGGCGGTGCGGCCGGCTCCAACCCTAACCCGTTACAGCACCCCCCCTTTTGACTTCAAGGCGAGTCTCTCAGATGAAGATACACTCAACAATGGTTACTACTGTATGTGTTGATGCTTCTTGTAACATATTTTAGTTAGAAGCATCTTAGTAGATGGGCTCATCGAGGTCTCCTACGCCTCCCTCTCCCTCAGCGCATGCAACATAGTCCCCTTCAACATGGCCAACTCCTCATCCCTCCTCTTCACCGCAGCCACCATGTCCATAAACCTCTGCTGCCACATCTCTTTCTCTTCCTCAGCCTTCTTCAGCTCCTCTTCTTTCTTCTTCTTTTCCACTTCTTCTTCTTCCTTCTTGGATAGCTTTTTTCCTTGTCTCTTTCCCCCTCCACCACTCTTTTCACCAGCACCACCAGCACTTGACCCTTCAGCAGCAGCAGAAGAACAAGTCTCATCAGCCTTATTCTTCTTTCTCTTTCCACCACACCATTTCCCAACTCTAATCACCTCCTCCATCGAGAAATCCCCACAGATCCCTCCCAACCTAAGTTCCCACACCGCCGACACTTTAATCCACTTCCCTCCACTTTCACCCGTCCCCGTCCCTTCCCCAGAGGCAATTCCAGACTCATCAAAAACCCCTTCCCCCAATTTCGTAACCCTCAACCCCCTCCCTCTCCCGCTTTCGTGCCCGGCATCACCATCTACCCGTGAAGCAGGCCCCCCATCCCGATTCAACAGGGTATGCCCCCCCACCAGCGCCGCTAGATTGATCAAAAATCCTTGCTTGTTGCTTGCGTTCCGATGCAAATTCTCAATGACCGTGTGACAGAACGCAAATGCCTCGTCGACTGAACAAGCCGGGATAGGGTTCCCTGCGCTATCGAGCCAAGTGGCTGTTAAGATCTGGTGCATGAAGATACTTTCGACGTCGAGGAGGTTGTATTTGTCGACTGACGGGTCGGCGAGGGAGGAGGGTGTGAAGGGGGAGGGGCCGAGGGGACCTGTGTGGTTTGTGAGGGAAGATGGGTTGGGGTTGGGATTGGGGTCTGGATGTGTGGAGGAAGAGGGGCCGGAGGGGAGGTACAAGGCGGGTTGTGATGATGATGATGATGATGATGAGGCTTGATATTGAGGGTGGAGTTGAGGGTGGGTGGCCGTGGAACTGCAATTATTTGTTGATGGTTGTGCTTGGCCGTTGATCATGAGCGTGGGCGGGGCCGGGGCTAGAAGGGGGGGAGTCGCGAGGCGGACTTCGTTGCCTACGCGCTCGGGTACTTGGAGGGAGAGGCGCGTGCGCTTTGCTGGGCGGCCGGAGGCTGCTGGAGCGGGAGCTTCTCGGACCGTTGGTGATGGTTGAGCTGTTGTTGCGGAGGTGGGGGTTTGGGTAGCTGTTGGGGCATTCGGTCGAGGCGGCGGCAAGATCGGGGTTTGTGATGGCGGTGGGTTATTAGGGAAGGTATGCTTTCCGTAATGAGGCGAGTCGCTCGATGCTGGGAATGCCGAAAAGGGGCCATCACTGTTGAGCTGTCGGTTGATGGGCGGCCGTCCTCGTACTCTACCTGTGGCTCCACCGGTCCTCCATGCTGATGATACCACTTTAGCCCCGTGGCGCCTACTCAGAGACTTGGGCTTGGAGCCTGAGGGGGTGATAGCCGACCTAGGCTCATCAGACCAAAAGTTGGTTCTTGTCGTGGGGGTAATGGCAGACTGGGGATAAGCCGTCATTGGAGTCTGACCACCATCATTGTTACCCCATGGAGCTCCCTGCCCAGGTACACCGAGCCTGGTGTTGTCAAAAGTAAAGACACTCCCCCTTTGAGCTGGGTGAGCAGACCAAGGTTCTCCACCTGGGGGCAGAGGGGACAGGGCATCATCCTCTCCGGGCTTCCTCCTGCCTCGCCGTGGCCTGATGTGCGGCAACAAAGCTCTGAGAGCCATGTCATCCTCGGCACGCACACCGTCTCTTTCGATCTCGCTGAGAGGGATAGTCAATGGTGGGATATCTACCCAATAATCGTGCTCTCGTCCGACCAAATACTCGAAAAACGCGTCAATGTGCATCGAGTGCATCCATCGCTTCAAACGGACAGCATACTGCTGGATTTTCTGCGAACTTTCACCCTTTTCAGGGTCAGGTGGGTCCACCCCCAGCTTGAGAGCCAGTTCGGCCCATGTTTTGATTTCCTTGTTCTCCAGCTGCTTGATCAGACCAAAGAGGACAAAGGTGTTGAAGGACTTGCCGCCACTCTTTGGAGGATCCGAAAATGTATCCCGGAGCATGACGGTGTCGGTGTCCAGCGGTACATGGGGATTACAGTGGAAGATGAAGTCGACGTAGGCATCCTCTATTGTCTCTTGCGTGATGTTCACGTCTGGTAGAGGAGGGCGGGTGGCATATGGTGGGTAATTTGGTCGAGGAGGGCGCGCTTGTGATGTGGGAGCGGGAGCAGCCGAAGCAGAAGTAGAAGCAGCAGCAGCAGCAGCAGACATGGCGGCAGATTGTGGTGTACTTGAGGCACCACCCGCTGGTTGACTGGTTGACTGAGTGGGTGTCTTGTCGGTGGGGGATGCGGTGGCAGACTCGGCAGCAGATTCGGCACTGGTGCTAGCAGCCTGGCCCATGTCTGAAGTCGGGTCGATGGAGGTGGGGGATGCCGTCAAGGTGCCGGGCTGGATTTGCGAAGCGGATGAAGGACCGGCCTGAGGATCCTCTGGTTGGTCTGACTCTGCTTCTTCCAAGGCCTGTTGGCCTTCCTGCATCGTGTTCCAGTTGTCACTGATGTGAAGCGTGGAAGCGTAAGGATGCGGCTGCTTCTTGAATGATTTCTTGCTGGGTGAGAGGTTAGGATATGGCATATAGATATTATAGGTAATGAAGGGGTGAATAGTGAGTGGCATTTACGTGACGGGCGGAATCCAGTGTATCATATCGGCTTGTTCTTTATAAGAACTTTTTTTTCCAATGTTGAGGTAATACGGTATGTCTCACACAACGCGCCGGACCGCGTGAGAGTATGGCCTCGAAGCCTGTCAAGAGAGTTGACAATGAGTATGTATGTTGTTTGTGCCGATGAATATCACTGAGTGTCTCTGGTGCTTATAAGCAAGAGTTGAAGAAAAAAAAAGGGCAAAACAAATTGACGGGAGGAGCCGCAGAGCAAATTAGCGGATTTTGCTGATTGCTCCACCGCGAGGGAATTGGAACTTGGAATGAATTGAAGCAGTTTGCTTGAAGACAGTGAGCCTTCATCCAATGCTTCATCACCAGCTGTATGAGTGTCTGAGGATATCAAGCAGTACGGTATTCTGTAGAATCGACAAAACCGCAACTGGCATAGAGATAGTGAGTGGTTGGGCAAAATGGGCAGTGTCAATCGTCGAGGTCAATGACAATGGGGCGAAGAAGGGGGGTTAAACTGCACGGAAAGGGGATAAAATTGGCTGGTTGTTCCCCACTTTCCAGCCACTGGTGGGCTGTGACTGGGCCACGGCTGAGCGCCACTTTCTTTTTGCTGTGGTATTTATAGTAGCTTGGCGTTACATGGATTGTAACCCGTACGGTACGTATTCGTTACATGTCACATTCCTGTATCTGTGAGGCCGGCACCCTGACAGCAACATTGACCATGAGGGCCATGTTTTGTTAACGGTAAAAATGCTGTGTATAGTTTGGATAACGTTGACATATTCAGCGGTCTTTTCTGGGGCGTACATGACGTGCAGCCAGTGGCAGTTCACCAGCTTCGCCGCTCTCCGACTTACACACAGGCCGATGCGGGGCCCCGGAAAACGTGCAGAGGGCTGACTCGGTATTTACCCCAAAGATACTTGGATCAATACTCATCATACGAGATGACCGACGGTGATGGAGGCAGGCAGAGTGTATCAAAGTAAAAGGGGTCATGCTAGATCAGGGTTCGGCTGTCATGCCACTCTGATATGGATCGTCCAATACCAACTCGGTGTTCAAGTTGCCGTCATTTCGTTGGCCACATCCTTCAACTCGTACATGTCGTCTGAATTATATGAGGCGGTCAGTATTGGAACCGCAAAGAGAGGAAAGGGAAAAAAGTCACGATACATAGAGGTAATATTGGATATACTATACCTAGGTAGTCAAACACTCAAGAACATGAAACAGCATTCCCCCGCACCATTGGAGAAATACAAGCAAGCCGGATACAAACGGGACGGGAATCCAATTACCGAATCCCAGGGCTTTCACATGATTCAGTTGAGGTGCTCCGTGCTTCCATGGCGGAGAATACCTAGAGGTACAGTAAAGTCCCCTGTTAATGCAACCCCCCCCTTTTGCTAAAACCCCCCCTTTTGCTAAAGATTTTGACTGCCCGCATTCCCTCTGGTGGTGAAGACTGCTAACTGCTATTTGCAACGCTGACGCTGGGGATTTGCATTAACAGGGGTCCTATTTTGGTGAGCCGGAGCAATACCGGCGGTGCGGCAGGTCTGGGTGACCCACCTTTAGGGTGGTCGGCCGTGATCCAACAGCCCCACAGCCTATATTGTGGTCTGTGCACCAGCTCCCCCTTCTACAAAACCCCCCCTTTTGCAAAGAAATCTGGCTGCCGGCATTAGTTGCATTAACAGGGGACTTTACTGTAATTGCCCTGTGACGTCGCTGTATGTAACTGTTACCTAGCTTTACCCCATAGAAACCCCCAATTACAGTGGACTAGATGCCCCGGCCCGTTGTAACCTCCACTTGGGGTTGCTTGTTAGTGCACCCACTTGATAATCGGACCTCGGCTGCTCTCTTGGACTTGTCCATTGAAAGATAATTAGGATGTATCATCTCTTCGCTTCAGTTGTTTTCTACTTCTTCCTACTCCTCTTCACAATACAGATAATTCGAAGACGGCGATAGCCTCTTTTTTCTTGCCCTTGCCTTGACTTGATACACTCTGGCCGTTCCCCGTTTGTTTCCGCGACAACCCCGCCGCCTCTCTTACACATCACAACTACAACAAACAACAGCAACAACAACAACATCATCATCATCACCAGTTTATTAAACATGTCGCAGTCCAAGCCCGTCGTCCCCCAAAATGACAACGTCGCCCACGCCCTCGCCGGCGCCGGTGGTGGCATCCTGTCCATGGCCTTGACGTGAGCATCTCTCTTCCTTTGTCTCTCTCCATCCATCCATTCCTGCCTACCTTCAAGGTAACCTGGTATCTCTTTCTTTGTATGACCTACGCTTACACAAACACCCACCACCAGCTACCCCCTAATCACCCTCTCCACCCGCGCCCAAGTCGAATCCAAGCGCTCCGCCGACACCACCTTCCTAGCCGCCGTCCAAAAGATTGTCGCGCGCGAAGGCATCTCGGGTCTCTACTCTGGTCTCTCGTCAGCCCTCTTCGGCATCTCCGTCACCAACTTTGTCTACTACTACTGGTACGAATGGACGCGCGCCTTCTTCGAGGCCGCCGCCGTCAAAGCCGGCCGAGCCTCCAAGAAGCTAACCACGGTGGAATCCATGATCGCCGGCGCCATCGCCGGTTCGGCAACCGTCATTTTGACGAACCCCATCTGGGTAGTCAACACGCGCATGACCACGCGCAAAGCGGCTGCTGCTGATGACGATGAGAAGAACACCGCCGCTTTGCCAGGCGCACCGCCAGCTAAGAAGCCCAGTACCATTGGCACATTACTTGCGCTGCTGAAGAACGAGGGCCCCCAAGCGTTGTTTGCCGGAGTGGTGCCGGCGCTGGTGCTGGTGATTAATCCCATTTTGCAGTACACCCTGTTTGAGCAGATGAAGAACGCGGTGGAGAAGCGACGCAAGATGACGGCCACGCTGGCCTTCTTTTTGGGTGCGGCGGGCAAGTTGTTTGCGACGAGTGTGACGTATCCGTACATTACGGTCAAGAGCCAGATGCATGTGGCGCCTGCTAGCGATGGCACCGGGACGCAAAAGAGGGAGGGCATGATGGAGGCGATTAATCGCGTGGTGAGGGAGGAGGGGTATGCTGGGTTGTACAAGGGTATGTCTTTACCTCTCTGTTGTCTTGGTGGTATTGTGACTATGGGATGGGATAAAAGCTAACAAAGGACCAAAAAAAATAGGCATCGGCCCCAAGGTCACTCAGTCCGTCCTCACGGCTGCCTTCCTCTTCGCCTTCAAGGACGTGCTCTACGAGCAGACGGTCAAGCTACGGGGCCGCGTCACTCGCAAGGCCCTTGCTTAGAGGGCTGTTGTGGCCGCCATGCCGAACCTCGCAAGGTACTACGCTTAGTGGGCGAGGGATGCCATCTGCTTTCCTTTTTTGCTCTATCAGTTTGACGTCGAATTGTTCCTCAAGACTTTTGGCCACAACGACCGGCTGGTCTTGGACGACTACGACGATGACGATGACGATGAGGAGTGGCTGTAAGGCACGGCGAGATAACCTTAGCAACAGTCGTCATATAACATAACAACAGCAACAACAACAGCAACAACAACAGATCAACAACAACAGAACGTCTAGGTATCGCATACTCAGACATGAATGGGGAGAAGAAGAAGTAGAAGGAGAAGACGGGGAAAAGCGGAAAAAGTCAGCGATGAGGACTCGAAGGATGATGATTTGATACACCCTGTACAATGCATGAGAGGCGGGCGATGTTGTCCAAGCGGGAGAACAAGTTAGCTAGGGAGTTTGGATTATGAGGGATGAATGTAAACTACTTTCGTTGTATTGTCTTTTCTTTGAATGAACTTTAGCCTGTAAACTTTAGCATTAAGTATTCCATCCATTTCCCTTTTGATTACACATCTTTGCTTTAACCAGTCTCTAAAGTTAGATAGTAAGGTAAAGAAGAATAATCTTGATATCGATCCAGTTCGCACACTTCGTCTAGAATAACATCCACATGCACACCTTGCCTATCGTTTATCTCATACCTTCCCTATACCACCGTGACCCCAAACCATTCTATCTCCTTTTCGTTACCACCACCATCACCACCACCACCTACCCACTCCTCAAGTTGACTCGACAACCTCTACATCAGGCACAATCCACCACCAATGCCCGCCCTGCTCCCACACCTCCTCACTCCTCGGTACCTTGACCTTCACCACCTGCTTGATTTCCTCCGTCGTCCTTCCCTCTGCATCCATCTCCACCGCCTTCTTGATTCCTTCTTTCAGGATCCTCTCTGCTTTTTCCACACTGCGTCGATACCGACTTACGTTTTCCATCCATCGCTTGTGTCCTCCTTTTCCTGGTTCTTGGTGTTGCTGTGCTTGTCTGGTATTACCACTTCCTGCGGGCCCTGCGCCCCCTGCTGCTGCTGTTGATCCGGATGTTGTCGCTGTTGCTGTGGGAGGATGTACAGATGTTGCTGTGGGAGGTGCGGGGGGGGATACAGACAAACCGCCGCCACCACCACCAGCAGCAAACGCCTCTCGCTCTCCAAGTCCTTCCAAAACCTCAAAGGCCTTCTTTGCTTGTCCCACTGCTTGCTGGGCGAACTTTAAGAGATGACTTGTTTTTTCTTCTCCTTCTTTTTCTCCCTTTTCTTCTTCTCCTTGTCTCTCTTCTCCTCCACCTGCTTTTCCTTCTCCTTCTCTTTTCCCTGCTTCACCACCGGCATTGACACCACCAGTCCCAATCCCCAAAGCATGCCCCTTCCACGTCTGGTAACTAGGTACCTCCGGCAAACTCACCGCCTTAAAAGGCTTCATGCGCACTTCGTACCGCTGTTCATCTGTGCCGTAGGGTCTGGGCGGTGGAGTTATCAGACCCAAACGGGAGAGAATGGTGTAGATCACCGAGACGGTGTCTGCGAATTCCCACGTTATGGCTGCGTCGAGGATTGTGGATCTAAGATAGGTGAGGGAGCGAGTGAAGGCTGCTTCGGGGGTTGTGGAGTAGTGGTAGGTTGTTGTTCCGGTAGTACCAGCCCCGGAGGTGGAGGAGGGGTCAGAAAGGGAGGAGGAAATGGAAACGGGCCAGCCGCGCGGGGGGTGGTAGGGTTGGGTTGGGGGGATCCAGGGGGTGGCGGGGATGGGAGGTTTCGTGTAGGAAGATGGAGGAGGTGGGTTGGACGAGGAGGAAGGAGAGGGGGAAGTAGAAGAGGTAGAAGAAGAGGAAGAGCGAAGTTCGCTGAACCGGTGGTTGGTAAACGCTTGGATGCGTTCCACATGCTGAGCTCTTGTTTTGGCCAGGTGGGAAAGATACCAGTACATGCCTGCCAGCTCGTCAGGAGCGTAGACCTCAAGCTCGAAGCCCAACTGGACTATCCACTCCATTAAGCGAAGCTTGTAGAGGTATGCCCACGAAGATAAAGGCAGGGAGTAACCTGGTTCGGAACCTGTGGTGAGCGTGGTCTGCGACTGGTAGGCTAGCGGCGTCTCGTCGATTTGGATCTGCAGAAGCTGGTCGATGTCTTCGGCGTCGAGCTGGACCTGCTCCCAGTCCTGAATCAAGTGGCAGAGCATGCGGCGAACGCGACACCGGTTCTGGCATAGCACGCGGAAAATGTCGATGTAGGCTTGGGCGGCGCGCTTGCGGAAGAGTTCCATCTGGTGGGCGATGGCGAAGCGGGCTGAGTGGGGAGCTTCGACGAGGTCGTTGTTGGGGTCCAGGAGCTCGTGCGCGGGCATGACCGCGATGGAGAGGTCGTCGTCCATGACTTGGCGGATGCTGAGCCGGTCAAGGAGGACCATGTCTTTGAATAAGAGGTTTTGGAGGAGACAGCGGATGTAGACCAGCGGTTGAGGTTTCTGGGCTTGGAAGTGGAAGACAAAGTTCAGAAGGCTCTGAGAGTCATGATAGTCCAAAATCTTGATGGCGTCGATGGCGTCGCTGCATAGCTTCTTGAAGTGCTTCGCCGCTTCGTCAAAACTGAGCGTTACTATCGGCCGGGGAGGCATACTACTCGCCAGTTTCCGCTGAAGCTTGGTGCTGAATGCTTCGGGCACCTCTTTTGCCAGACCGGGGAGCTTGAGGATGGCTTCCCACACGCTGTGCATTTGATACCAGGGTATCTGGAGAGAGTCGGGGCTACCGCGATCCTCTATGAGTTCGAGAGCCCGAAGGAAGGCTGACCTTAGCTCAAGACGGAATGAAAGTGCCTGTGTGATGTCGGTCCCGATCTCCGCCCTCAATTCATGGAGCGTGTGTTTGGCTGATAAAATCTCATCCCTGATCTCATACCGGTCAATGTGATCCATGAGGTTGCGGCGGTAGGTGTTGGTGACAAAATCCTCTTCCTGTCGTATATGTCAGCCCTCACTCACTCGCAGCATCTCATGCAGCCGCACTCACCTCGTAATAGAGCTCATCCCTGATCGTCTCCAACACATCCGCACAAGTCCTCACCAGTCCCGAGCAGTACGCCCTCAAAACAGTCGTCATAGGATCCCTCGGCGTCTTGCGATTCCTCACAAAGTCTGCCTCCTGCAACGTAGCCGGCGCCGGCTCCACCAGAGCTTCGATATAGACGCTGGTGAGGATAGTTTGCGCAAGGGGATATCCCAAATGCCATGCCATTTCGAGACAAAGCAGCTGGTCAATGATACCCAGGACTTCCGGGGCCGATAGCTGTCGATTCACATCGTAGGTCTCCTCAAGAGTTTCGCCGGGCGCTAGACAGCCGCTGTCCATCTTGGGATCACCGATCTGGAGGTGGTGTTAGTCATGTGTGTGTGCCCTGTGCATGCAGCTGTGAGGGATGCAGAAAGATAACACATACCTCGAGAGCCCCGACGGCCTCGAACAGCGTGAAGTAGCCATCTTTCACGATCTCACCGGTTTCCAAAGCTGTGTGAGTGGGAAACGAGTGGTTAGCATCATCATCATCATGAGATCTCACTCAGTCCGTGGAGGCAGGAGCTGGAGAGAGATGGAAAACCTACTTTTACACGCAGAGAGAAACTTTTTGGTAATGTTGGTGGCGATGATCCCCGGATTAGACATGCTGGGAGCCTGACGCTCCTCGAACAAAAAATTGCGGTCGTTGTTTGCGAGTGATAGAGTGAGCAGTTCTGATTGTGGTGGTGGTGGCACCAAGGAGGTCAGTGAGATGTCATTACAATGTTATAGCGGGGTTGTTGCCCAACGTGGTGTGGTAGTGGTGGTGCCGTTGTTGAAATATTTGAAATTTTGGGAATTGTAGCGAAAGAAACAAACCTCTTTGAACTGCAGCTTGGTGGTCGTCTGGGATCATGGTCTTGTGTTTTTTTTTTTTCTTTTTACAAGAGCTATGGATGGGCTCCCGTAGGAAAGGTAATTAGTATGCACTTGAGATGAACATTTGTTTGTTTGTGGTTAGGTGAGTGGAGGAAGTCGGGTGATGTTTGGCTCTGTTAGGGGAGGAACCTGAGTCTGTGCCTGGCTGCCCGGACTTCTTTGCTGGTAGCGTCCGTGAGCCCGAATGTTAACGACCGACTCCCCTTTCGGGTACATACCTACCTAGAGGTAAGCTTCCTCACTTTCCGCTTGTCAGTGGGTTGATGAGGCTGCTAAGAAATGACAAACAATTCTTTATTGATCACATTTTCTATTTTTAAGAACCCAATCTTTCAACTCAACTGGCTTCGTCGAATAAGCGCCTACCGTATTTTGCATATCATGCAATGAAGCCCAAAGAGGCAATGAGACGCTGTGCTTCAGGGAAAGGAACCCCTTGTGCAACATCTACGACTCTCGGACCTGTTACCTCTGTCAATGAGCCTCACACCCTTTTCACACCTTCTCTAGTTCATTTACAATCATTACAGTCGGATATGTCACTCCAATTCACTTCCCAGCAGTCACACCCAGTTCACAAAGTAAATGCCAATAAACCGTCTATTGAGTTTCTCTTCCTCGCTCCCCCAATATGTTTGATGATACAGGTCATACGTCTTCGGGCTTAGTGACACTCGGCAGGAGGTGAGGATTTGAGTGCCATGCGGGAGCGATTCGCGATATGACCCTATTTCTCTCATCTCCCGGTCCACCACTACACCACCATTCCTAGCACATCGTCACGGTGTGTTGGTTGTGTGTGTGTCGATCCGCTTAAGAAGAGGGAACGGAGGTGGCGTTCTCGGCGGCGGCGGCAGCGTTGGCGGAGCTGAGGTTGACGGTCTCGCCAGGCTTGCCGTTCTGTAGTTTGGAAAGAGAGGGGGTGTGATTAGCTTCTCTTTCGTGTTGTTTACGTCCAGTGCCGGTGTCCATCCATCTTCATGATTTTTTTTCTCTCCGTCTCCTCACTCGTGACATTCCCCCCTCCTCTTTTTTCTTCTCTTGTCTGATTGTTCCCCGATAGCCAAAAGACAAAAAGATTATTACGTACCGACCACTTAGCGAACTTGACCTCGGCAGCCTCGCCACGACGCTCAGCAATGATTCTCTTATCCTCCTTGAGGGAGCGACGGAGCGCACGAGAGGCGACCGCGAGGTAGCGGTTGTAGCTGTAATTTTCGTGAACCGTGTTAGCCTTCGTTGTCTTGTAGTACTGTTTTCTCTCGTCCGGTCCCCTCTGCTATGTTCCCCCCTCTTGCCCTGCTCCTGATCCTCGTGTGTTGCTCATTCCGTGCGCTATCTGGTGATTGTAGTGCGTATGTCTGTCGTAGCTCTGGATGAATGCTGGCCTGCTTTGTTGCTTCGAAGTCGTCGTTACGCATCGCTTGCTCGCTTTCCGGTGTTTTTGTCGCATTCGGGCCCGTCTCTCCATGTCATGGACATTCGGCGCTTTTCTCGACCAAGTGTGTCGTGTATTATCTCTCTCCTTGATCTCCCTCAATGTTTCCCTGGGTCCTGCTGTCGTCCATGACCTGGGGTTATCTCCGTCCTCTTTCTCTCCCAGTCTTTCTCATTCCACCTGTTGTAGGTCGCCCGTAGATTGTCGTCCATCGATCGTATTTCAAGTCGCGGGGCAATTACAACCCCAGATTTCGGCGCATGTAATCGTTGTAATCTCTGTTGTCGAGCTCGTTCGTGGGTAGGCAGGCTCGTTGGTCCCATCATCCTCCTCCATCCTTCTCTCTCTCTCTCTCTCTCTCTCTCTGTCGCGGCAATTCTGGTCTTCTTCCTCCCACACTTCCGATAAACTGCCCTATTTGCCCTGCCTCTCCCCGTCCCCAAGCCAATAAAAACGAAAAGACAAGATACTCACGTAATGCCAGCGGCCTTCCAAGCGAACACCATGTTGGGCGAAGATTGTGGGGTGGGTGGGTGGGTGTTGTCTTGACGGTGAAACGAAGAAAGACTTGTTGCTGTCTGCTGCTTGCTGCTTGCTGCGGTACTTGCTTGCGCGCGATTCGGTTCACTCTCGACTCGACAAAACTGGTCCCCACCCTGGCACACCCATCCACCCAATCCACATCCAACACCAGGGAACCCGAGAAGCTCCGCTGCCCGAAGCTCCGTCGTGTGTCACGTGATGCCCCTCCTTTTTTTTTTTTGTCTTCAGTTGTGACCCCAACTCCCCCAACTGAGACGCCGCCCCAAGCTTCCTTCCATGCCATGCAGTGACGAAACAGGAGCTACGGGCGCCCGCCGCCGCCGCCAGGGCAAGCTCGGCAGCTTACCTAACAAGGTCAAAAGTAAACATCGACCCCTGATACCTATTTTGAATGGACCTGTGTGATTGATGTTTGACATTGAATGTGATATCGCATTTGTAAACTTTCAAATGAGCTCAAGCATTCTCGTCTCTTCCAAACTACTTATCTTCGCCGTAAAACTCACTAGTATATCTCATCTCATTCCTTAAGCTTGACATTTCACCCTCGTTTGTAACAGGTGTCCAATGTCAACAAAAGAAATAATGCCTGCTGCATTTTGTGTTTTGTAGCTCTGCTAGAGAAGTAGTGGCGAGGAATGATAAAAAGTCTAGAGGTTTGTATATGCACAAAAAGTCGTCGGTCCCCGTTCGTTCTTCATCTCCCGCTTCACAACGAGAAAGGTCTACAACACACTTCATCCCGGCCGGTTTTGCTGTTGGTACACGGTTTTGGTTTTTGTCTCCCAACCCTGGCGTCTTCTCAAAAAAAGGTTCCACGCCTTTCCAGTTTCAATCGGTTCGTTTCGCTGCGTTTAGGTATTTCCTCTTTCAATTAACTACGAATTGCACAACCCGCTCTGCGCCCCCAAAGTCTAGTCTACGTCTATACCTTGAGACCGAGATCCTCAGCATAGGGAAGGACGTGGAGGTCACCGACGGCGGAAACGGAAGCCTTGCCCTCAAGGAGCTTCTTGGCAGCCTGTTGAACGTTTGTTAGCATATCTTTTTTTTCTTTTCCAACTTCTTGTAGGTTCACACATACAGCCTGGAGCTTCTCAGCGGTAACGCCCTCAAGAGCCTTGAGGGTCTCGGCAACCTGGATGGGCTTGCCACCGGCAAGAAGGTTGGCACCGGCGTGGACGAGGCCAGTGCCGGAAACCTCGCTGGCGGAGAGGAGGTTGAACTTGGCCTTGGCGATAGCCTTGGTGAGGTCCTCCTTGGAGACACCACCGGCAGCGATGGCCTTGAGACCCTTGACGGCCTCGACGGCGACCTTGCCGACGGCGGCACCCTTGCCGGTGATCTGGATGGCGAGGAGACCAGCATCGGAGTAGGCGTAGTTGTGAGCAAAGGCCTCGGCGCCGGGGTTGGCGGCGGTGGCCTTGGCGAGGAGGCTGAAACCGGGGGACCACTTGATGTTGGAGACACCGCCGAGGAGACCGACGAGGACGGAAGTCTCGGGGTGGGGGACGCCAAGGGAAGCACCGGGGAAGGCAATGACGATGGCGTTCTTGCCGTTCTTGGCAACGCGCTGCTCACCACCAAAGTACTTGGAGGCGGCAGTGTTCAGGTTGCCGGAGCTGGTGGCGGGAACACCCTTGAAGAAGGGCTCAACCCACTTCTCGAGACCGGCCTGGCTGGCACCATCGGCGACAACGGCGATGTTGGCCTTGTTGTAGGCGAGGTTGGCGAAGGCGGCGACCGAGTTCTCGTTGAGGTAGGACGAGGTAGGGGTGTCGACGGTAGGGTAGAGGGGAGAACCGAGGCCGCTGTGGAAGGCGACGTTGTGGGCGGCATCGAGGGCGATGGCGGCAGAGTCGAGCTTGGCCTGCTTCTCGTGGATGCAGTTCTCGACGAGCTCGTGGAACTCGTGGGCTATGGGGCGGCAAGGCAACAACAACAACTGTCAACAACAGCCATCTTTTGGTTTCGTGGGAGGGAAGGTATTATCACGCACTGGTGTACTTGGTCTCAGAGATGACCTCGGCAAGGAGCTCGGTGAAGTAGGGGAGGTCCTCGCGGAGGAAGGAGGCCTGGAGGACGACGGCCTCACGGGTGTGGTAGGCCTGCAATTGGCCGCCGAGGAGCTCGGACTCGCGGGTGATGCGGAGGGCGGTTCTCTTGTTGGTGTTCTGTGTACCTCGCCAAGGTGTGCCAATTATTAGCTCATGGGCGTCTTCTCTCTCTCTCATGGTCCGGATGCGGTGGACCGGGGACCTGCCTTGAACGCAAACTCCTCCAGACCGACGGTCAGACCGGGAAGGGGCTCGTAACGGGTACCGGCCTTTGCGACGACGGCGAGGCGGGTGGTCGGGCCGGAGTCGTCGCGCGAGGCAACCTTGACGCCGGCGATGGTGGTGGGTTCGTATGACGCCGCGGGAGAAGCAGCAGCAGCAGCAAAGCCGCGCTGGGCCGTCTTCGCAGCGGCCGGGCGGCGAAGGGCCAGCTGGCTTCCCCTCGAGAGAGCCGATCGGGAGATCATGGTTGGAGGGGTCGATGTCGTCCAATTGACGGTTCTAGATGATTGCGCAGCGAGCACTGCTTGGGAGGACTGAGCTTCACGTAGTCTCTCAGTATACTTAGTGTAGCAATTCCGACTCCGAAAATTCCCTGGCACCAGCGCCCCAGTTGCCGGGCTGCACGTGCACCGGCAGCTGCCCAGTCCGGGCACAGACCACTGCCCAGCTGCAGACCACTGCCAGGCCCGCCCAGCGCTGAGGCTCCCAAGGCGTGAACACCCGGCCACGCACGAGTCGGGAGCCGCACGACGGGCTGGCACAGGCCATCACCCAGCGGTCTCAGTGGTCAGCAGTGAAACACAGCTCATCATTGGGCGCGAAGCAGCAGCAAGGGAATCAAATGCCCCGCGATCCGCTGAAGACGACGACGACGGAAGCCAAGAAGATGTGGATATGAGTACACTATGTACCTACACTACCTACCTGTAGATACCTATAAGCCCATCACAGGCCGGATGGACGACCCCTTCCAAGGATGGAAGCTTCGTCTTTTATCAGATGGAAGTTACCGGGTTCGGGTTCGGTGAGGACAAGGTGACAAGGCTGTTTCATCTTTAAAAGCATCATGATCTGGGTCAGTTTGCCGGGCGGCGGATGGATTTCTTCATGTCGTTCACTTGCACGACTCAACTCAACGGGACGGGACCTGGGATTGCCGTCGGGGCAACTCTGGAAAAGTGGGTTGGGCTTAGGTACTAACAAAGGGAAAGGTAGAGGTACGTACCTCTAGCTCCTGCACATAAGGTACACTACACTACAACGTACGTACGGGTGGACGGGACCCCAGGGGCTAGGTACCTAGCGCGGTCTGGCGCGCCCATAGCGATTGACGCGCGGACCTGGAGAGTCCCTGCCGCCGCCGCGCATGCGACTCGGAAAAAAAAATAATTTGGAGCATTTTGTCATTCGGATTTCCCCGCCGTCTGTCGAACACTATTCACCACCAAACTGTTGCAGGCGCATTGCATTTACTTTGCGCATCTCTCACAGAATACTAGAACAGCCAGCACCAGGTAGTCCCCCACCATAACCACTCCAGGTGACTTTCTGTCAACTTAATATATAATTTCACGACTCCACCCTCTTCTTTTCTCCCCCCCACCAATTCACCAAACCCTGGAGATCTCCCATGCCATCATATCGGTAGTAACCGCAGAAGCTCTAGAGATAGTGAGAGGATCTCTAGGAGCCACATCTTCTTCAAATTTAGGTTGCTATAGCACCGACACCAACGGCAACAAACATCATCTGATAGCCCACCATGGCAGTTGTATGTACTCGTCCTTCATTCCTCTTCGTTGCTCTCTTCTGACCAATGACCACCACAGATCAAAGAAAAGGCAGAGTGCTGCACTCTTCTTGTCGACGAGCTCTACGGCCAACTCCCCGCAGTAGGTTTCACCACCACCAATGCCGATCCGGAGTACGCACATCGATACTGACACCTCCCCCAGAGAGTCTATGCGACTCTTTTCCAACGAGGAAAGCTCTCGGTCCGCCTCATCAGCCAGTTCTCCAAACTCAGCGCCCGCCAAGTCAAAAATGGTCTTTGCGTCCTCCAACAACACAACCTCCTCTTCTACTCCGTCGACGCCAATTCGGGCGAGGCCGAATACTCGGTAAATCACGAATATGCCTACAACCTCGTGCGCACCGGCAAGATCCTCGAAATGGTGGACAACAGCTACGGCCCCGCCGGCCGCGACGTCATGCAGAATCTCCTGCTCCTCGGACAGACCCGAATCTCCGACTTGGTGGCCGCCTACCAGGCCAAGATCAACGAGGTCAACAACGATGACGCATGGCTGAACGACAAGAAACCCGAGCTCGCGATCAAGAGCAAAGCGCAACTCAACTCGGTGCTTTGCCGACTCATTGAGGCCGAGTTGATCGATGTCATTCACAGCAAGACCTTCCAGAGCGCCCACGAAATTGAGAAGCAAGTCCACAGAGAGGTCATGGACGTGTACTTTCCCAACGGCATCAAGGGCACCAAGGCCAAGGTTGAGTTTGAACAGAGAGTGGCTGAGGGCCTTCGCAAGGTGCGCGAGGAGTCCAAGACTCTTAAGCGCAAGCTGGCTCAGAATGGAGGCGCAAGCAAGCGAAGGAAGCTGGCTGTTGGCAACGAGACGAATGGGGCTCCGGAAGAAGAGGAGGACTTGGACCCGGCGTTGGATGTAGGTTATTTTCCATGGGACAAGGGTCCAATTGGTGTCGCTAACTTGCCCTTTCCTCCAGCCCCGACAAGTCATCCGCATTAACTACGAAAAGTGCATAGTAGAACTACGCAGCCGCCGCCTTGTCCAATATGTCAACGAGACCCTCGGAGAGACGACAGGATACGTTTACGGTCAACTGCTCAAGCAATTGACCAAAAACATTTCGCGCTGCAAATCAGACCCGCTCATAGACGCGTTGACGCCGGAAGAGAAGGTGACGCCCTCGGTCACAACAAACGAGATTCTTGATAAGGTCAAGACCTCGATTGATCTCACACTTGGAATCGGCAAGATCCCGAGCAAGTCCATTTCGAAATCGGCTGCGGAGAGACTCACTCCTTTTGCGCCCAAGGACAAGATTCCCTTTATGAATCAAGACGATAGCGACGATGACGAAGAGGATGGTGATTACAGCGACAGCGACGAAGAGATGGACACCAAGAAGGAAAATGGGGACGCACCGGTCGCTAGGATGAGCCGACCTGAGCAGCTGCGGCAACATCTCCTGCTGTTGGCCGAGGGCCACCCAGGCTTTGTGCGTCACTGTGGAGAGGATGAGTGGACGGTCGACTTTAAGCCTCTAATGGAGAATCTCCGGGCGACAGAACTCGACTCGATCATCGAGCAGACCAGCGGTCGCCAGGGCCTCAGGTTGATACGCATCCTCCGCACGAAGGGCAAGCTAGGGGAGCAAGCGCTCCAGTCTCTCAGCTTGATGCGCAAGGTGGACCTTCAACAAAAGATGCTGGAGATGCGTCTTGTGGGCTTTGCGCATACGCAAGAAGTGCCGCGCGACAACAAGGCCGACCCGAAAAAGTCCATCTTCCTCTGGTACTGTGACACGGAGCAAGCGTACAGCAGCCTGATTGCCAAATGCTACGCAACCATGGTGCACTGCCTGCAGGTGCTGGAGGTGCGGCGGCAAAAGGACAAGGACGTGTTGTCGCTGGCGAAGCGGACGAACGTCAAGGGCAAGGAGAAGGATATGATGCGTGACGAGTCGTACGCGAGGTTTGCCAAGTTCTTGAAGGACGAGAGGTTGCTGATGGCGGAGATGATGCGGATTGATGATACCTTGGCTCTTTTACAGGACTATTAACTCTTTGAAGACGAGAATGTCATGATTTGAGCGTTTTCAGCATAGGGACAACAAAAACATGGTCATCATTATGAGTTCAGTCATCTAGAATAAACTGAGAATGACATGTGCGATCACGGTGTTCCCCTTTGCCGGCGCCAAACACTCGGGTGACGCTTGTTTGTTAGCTGAAGACTTTGGATCAACCTTCCAATGCGTTTTCATATCTGACCAATGCGTGATCTGGTCCTGAATAGGATACTATTTCGGATACTTGAGATGTTGGGATATATTTTAGTAGTGTACTGTGTAGTGTAAGCTTCATACATACCTGTAACAAACAAAGCAGCATCGGACTGTCGGTGGTTCAGATAAGGCTGGCGCTAGTGTTCGATAAGCCCCGGATTGGCTGAGCCAATACTAGCGTGCCTTGGCTTGGCAAGGGTTGCACTCGTAAATCCCGCTGTCGGAGCTCGTTAGCGCGAGAAATTTCGCAGCTTGCGGTGCTGCGCTTGGGGGACGCCGCGGACGAGGAGAAAAAAAAAAAAAAAGTTTCAAAAAATTTCGGTCGTTGAGTTCCGACGACTCGAGACCCCGTCAACCAAAGGCATCATCATCCTAGTGACCTACTGGACCTGGGCTACCCGAGTGACTCCAACCGTTCCCCCACTCAGTTCAGTCCAGTCCAGTCCAGTCCCCGTCCCCGTTCCTCGTCCGAGGTGGTACCTTGCTCGCCGTACTGTGTCGTGTGTTTTCTTATCTTCCGGTCCCCGTCCCGTCCCGTCTTCCCTCCCTTTCTCTCTCTCTCTCTCTCTGACTGTGGTCTGCTTGTGATTCATTTCCGTCCCGCCGTCGTGATTCCCTTTCTCTTCCCAATTTCCCTCGTCTCCTCGAGTCCGATCTTCTGCAATCCTTTTTCGCCAGTTTCCCTCCCCGCACACACGCACTGCTGCAGCTTTAATTCCCTTATAACCCCTCACACAGCGGTTATACATCCCGTCTTTTTTTTTTTTTTAATCTTTAAAACACCAAACCACAACAAACAACCAAAACAAAATGTCTCCCGTTGCTGCTGGTCGTTCGGAGAAGGAGTCCAACCTGGCTAGGTTGCTGGGATCCGGTATGTCTTTCTACTGTCTGCAATGACGGATGACGTCTGTTCTGTCAACGCTGTTTGGGGAAAACATGTTGCTGATTCCTTGGGTGTGTGATGTAGGCTCTGCTGGTATCGCCGAGTTGGCCATCTTCCATCCTGTATGTTTTCACGGGTACCACTATAACACTGGTCACTTTAGTTATCACCGGTCCCTCTCGAAGTCTCTTGTCCAGAAAAGTCCGGGCGAGAAGGAAGGAAGCTCTCGAAGCTCTCGAAGCTCCATGCCATGCTACCGAGACAGGCCAATGGCTGACCTAGCAGCTTTGGTTTGCCGCATTGGTGATCTGGATTGGTAGCTGGCTGGAGCTGTCCTCCTCTACAGGATGAACAGGACGAAAAGCAAAGAGAGGGACAACACACGGACAAGAAAGTGCGAATATCATGAGCACCCTACTGACCTTGCTGGTTACAATAGGTCGATACCATCGCTAAGCGTCTGATGTCCAACGAGACCAAGGTTCGTAAATTGAAAGCCTGCCACTTCCAATCAATTGCTTAAAGCAGCACCTTGATGGCTACTTCCAAAACCCTCGTACTGACTTACATCTGCCCAGATCTCCAACACCGCCGAGCTTAACAAGGTCATCTTCAAGAACAAGGCCGAGGCCCCCTTCGGTCGCAAATTCGTCTCCCTCTTCCCCGGTCTCGGCTACGCCGCCGGCTACAAGGTTCTCCAGCGCATCTACAAGTACGGCGGCCAGCCAGTTGCCCGCGACTTCCTCGGCACCCACTACGGCAAGGACTTTGAGAACGCCTTTGGCAAGAAGACGGGCAAGGCCATCATGCACTCGACGGCCGGCTCGCTCATTGGCATTGGCGAGATCGTTTTGCTTCCCCTCGACGTCCTCAAGATCAAGCGCCAGACCAACCCCGAGGCCTTCAAGGGCCGTGGCGTCTTCAAGATCATCAAGGACGAAGGCTTCGGCAACTTGTACCGCGGCTGGGGCTGGACGGCCGCCCGCAACGCGCCCGGCTCGTTTGCGCTGTTTGGCGGTTCCGCCTTCGCCAAGGAGTTCCTCTTTGGTCTGAACGACTACAACAAGGCGACGTGGTTCCAGAACTTTGTCGCTTCCATTGCTGGTGCCTCTGCCTCGCTCGTCGTCTCGGCTCCCCTCGACGTCATCAAGACCCGTATCCAGAACCGCAACTTCGATAACCCCGAGTCGGGCTTCCGCATCTTGACCAACATGGCCAAGAACGAGGGCGCCGGTGCTTTCTTCAAGGGTCTGGTGCCCAAGCTCTTGATGACGGGCCCCAAGCTTGTTTTCTCTTTCTGGCTGGCTCAGACTTTGATTCCTGCCTTTGACATTGCTTTCCGCAAGTAAAGCGGGGAGTTGAGTGTCGATGAGGAATGAGCAAAAAAGAAAGAACAACAAAAATCGGCGTTTGTTTTTGGATCGGAAAGGAAGCCTTTTTGATGGATAGAGAACATGATCTGTCATCATGTTTTGTTTTGCCATCTGTTTGTAACAATATCATTGTGCGTGTGTGTGAGCTGGAGTGGTTGGGAGGGTTATCTAAAGGGTTCATGATAGAAATATTCCCCGGCGTTGTGTGTGTCTGTGTGGGTGGGCAAAAATAAAATTTTTCCTTGTTGATGTCTTCACAACCTTCTTCCTGGCTTTTTGATTTTTCGTTGTGAATGTTGGATTCTCGGAGGAAATTCAGAACCCGGCATAACATCGGCTCGAATCGCCCTTACTTCCCTCACCAGGTCCAGATTCCAGAGTCAGCATTTCATTCGGTGTTATTTCCCTTTTCTAGCGACAATACCGTCCATCCGGGCAAGTTCCATGGGCCTATGTATGGTTCGGGGTCTTCTGGTGGTGCTCTTGATCTTCTTCATGACTCATCCGGAACTTGTTTCCTTCTTCTCTTTGTCTCCTTTTTGCTTTCCCCTCTTTGTTTTTTTTTTTTTTTCTTTTTTTTGGTCTTTTGTAGAGAATTATTCATCATTCATGCTGCCAGAGCCATACATAAATGGACCTGTGCTTGGGGCTGGAGTCACTCACTCACACACACTCCGCCGCTCTGTGTGCAGCAGCACATTGATTTCTCTCACTTTCCACTTCCCCTCCTTATTTTTTATTCTCCTTCTTCTTCTTATTTACCTCGTTCTCCAACAGCTCCCAGCACTGCAGTGAAGGAAACTTCCCCCCCCCCTCCAATGTTTGGAATCTGATATAAAGTCCTCCCTCGCTCACTGGCTCGCGAAAAAAAAAACCGTACGTAAAAGGTTTTTATTTTTTTTATTTACCTTATGATCATCTCCCCACCCTGTTACCACGCACGTTCCGAGAATCTGAATCCGTGTTTTCCTTCCTACCTACCTACTTCAGAACATAATAGGTAGGTATCTCTACTTATTACTTCCCATCCTCTCCTCTCCTCGATCCCATGTTATCCCTCCCTCCCTCCCTCCCTCCCTCCTCGTGTTCGTAAAGGAGATCTTCTGCTCGTATATAGGCTTGACGGTACTGTGACTTTACGTTACATGTAATGGGCACCCAGATCTTTCTCTCTCTCTCTATCTGAGAATCGTGGAAATTGACAATAATGACTTCCAGAAAACGGCCACCTTGTTCACGCCCTCTAGAACTAACTTGGCATCCTCGAAATGATTGCTGACACCGAGTTCTTCTCGCTTTTCTACAGGTAATCGTTCATCCTGGTGCTTATCACCAAATCTACCTCCAACCAAGCCCAGGATGAGCTTTCTTCACTACAAATTGGTAGAACACTCTGAATTAGTCTCACTGATTGAGGCGGTTCTCTCTCCCCAATTCTCGGGAAACGGGAGTGAGCATGGCGCCTGGAAAAGTTTCATTTTCCTGGTTTAGACTAGCTTGATATTGATATCACAAAAGCAACATATTGCAACTATTCATAAACGCTATGAGGACACTCTGGGATTCATGCTCAGATACCAGATGCGAAAACATTCGCAATAGCATCTGTACCCTGTTATTAAGTCTCAATCAGTGACTAATCTGCATTCTCATGAATTGGCCATAGACCCATCCTCCGTCTTGTAGTATTCAGCATCTTTCTGTGGGACGTAACTGAGCCTGATCGCGATTCATGACTTGCATCATTGTGTACCTTATCTACCACGTATACAATAACAGTCACCATCACAATCAATCACACAATCACTGCATTGGCCACGTTTCTGTTCTACAATATTGTTCGGTGCTATGCTAACCCTACTTTACATGATTTGGTAATTCGTAATCTGTCGGTCATATCCCGATACTCTATCTCTCTTTTATGTTCCCCTCAACTAAGATGCTGATACAACGCATCTATGAATGTGGATCTGCGCGGAACTTATGCTCATCTGTAGAGCCTATGCCGCGTATCATAAAAGCCATAAAACTGATGTGGGTAGTGCAATAATGAAACAAGAAATAATGAAGTTGTGTGTTCGCAGAAGGCTTTTTGCCATGTTCTTGTGTTCGAATCAGGCTTCCAACCATATGTCGATGCTTCCATTTCTTGTGTAGATGGTCCATACTCTCCGGCCAGGCGCAGTGAAGAAAGGTCTTGATCTGTGTTTTCCGCTTTTGCAGACTGAGATTAGTGATCCCTGACCCATGGCATACTACATAACCATGACTGTCCATTTGGCTAGCATTTCTGGGTTCCTCCGCGCCTCCTTAGAGGTTGAAGGGAGCAGGAATCTTGTTCATGTTACGGCGATCAGAAGCCTCGATGGTGACGTTCTTGAACTGATCGCCCAATGAGCTGACATGCTGCAGGGGGCGGTTCTCCCCACGCTTCTCAGGAATAGGAGTGAGTAGCGCGCCTCCATCACTGCAATCATTATCCGGGGAAGGGGCAGCTCTGTGCGGACGATCGTTGCTGGGAGGAAAAGACATCATCGTGGAAGTCTGGTACTGAGGCAACCAACCGGTAGCAGTGGCCGAGGATAAGACACTGCTGGTACCGCTCTTCTTCAACATATCCGGCCAGAGTTTGGCCCCACCAGACACATTATCTGCCTGGCGGTCCTGAAGAGCCATGGAATGAGCATCAAGGCTGCTCTCGCGAGACCCGTAGGTAGCAGTCGGCTCACGGGAGTGGAATCCCTCAATGTGAGGCTGAATGTTGTCGGACTGACTGTAGAGCCTGGAATCATAGCCCTTGGTACCATAGTCGTCCTCGTCACCCAAGGTCGAAGCAGGCTCGCCCCTGTGAAATGGGTTGCTGGGATTGAAGGGATCCGAGCGAGTGAGACGGTACTCATCAGGCCTAACAGTACCGCCAGAACGAGGTGAGCGCATCTGAGGGCTGTCGGGGACAGTAGACTCGGCAACCGATGAGGAGGCAGCAGGGTAGAAATGCTTGCCATCGTATCTGGGGAGGCCCTTGCTGACATCCTTGGGAGCGTTGTTTTGGAAAAGCCAGCGAGCACGAATCTCATCATTGGTCAAGGGTCGGCTGTACACATAATCCTCGGACGTGGCACTGCGAGGATCAACGTTCTTGGGAAGGGCTCCGAGGAGGTAGGGAACGCCGTAGTTCGAGGCAGTTGTGCTTGACTTGCTGCCAAAGTAGCTCAGATTCTCTCGACTGGGAACGCCGAGGAAATGGGACTCAGAACCTTCCACATAGTCGATGGGAGGGGGCGGAATTGGGTCCTCAACCGGAATGCCAGACAGGCGTCTGTCAGATTCCATCCTAGCCCTCTCTAGCTCGGAGAGCGAACGAAAGCGGCCAGGGTAAAAGGCAGGAGCCGCGGCAGCCGCGGGGGGCAGATTCGCAGTCATCTTTTGGAACTCCTCAAAAGTCATGGAGTCCTCGGGGTCGAACTTCATCCTGATCTCACCATAGTCGTTGCGCTGGATCAAATCCGGCTGAGAGTCCTCATCCTCAGTGTATTCACTGGCAGCCTTGTTGTTGAACTTGGAGTTCAACTGGCTTTCGGTCAGAGATGACATGGGCTGAGAGAGATTTCTGTCGGCAGCAACAGCAGGCTTGCTTGCAATCTTGGAAGCCTTGGGAGTTTGAGATCCAGTAGTGGCATTATCCTTGGGCTCGGATTGGCCAAGAACCGACTGCTCATACTCGAGCTCGGTCTTGAGCTTGACCTCAAAACGTTGAATGAGATCACGATAGTTGTGGATGGCTGCCTCCATCTCCTTCTCGTCAATCTGGTGACGGTTGTACTGAAGCTGATCCTCATGGTACTTGAGAGACTGCTTAAAGCCGGCAATCTGCTTCTTGGTGATGTCACTTGGTTTGATGGAAGAAATGACCGGGGGAATGGGAGGTGGCTTGTAGTTGGCAACCGAGTAGCCTTGGTAGTTGATGCCAGAAGCACCGGTTGAGCCTTGAACTGCCTGGTTGGGCATGGAGAAGGCGCCCATGACGCCACCAGGTCTGCCGGGAAACTGCTGCATCAAATGTCCAGTCATACCCGTCACGCCAGAAGGGACGCCAACCATGGAAGGCACAGCCGTCTGGTTGGTCGTTGCACCAGATGGGGTGGGCATGAAATACTGGCCGTTGAACATGAAAGGCTTGCTCTGGTCGAAGAACTCGGGAGGAGTGATCTTAACCTTGTCGTTCTTGTCACCCAAGGAAGGAGTCTGAGCCTGCGAACCTGCAGAATGTGCACCATTGACGTCTTTGTTGTGTGCCATGTTGTTCTGGGGCATCTGGGCCATACCGGCAGAGTTGAAAGCCTGAGGCACGAACTGGAATCCAGGGGGGAGTTGTGCACCGTAGGGCATGGACATGAACGGAATGCCAGCGGGGATAGCTTGGAAGCCAGGAGGGCAGCCGGGGAAGTATGGTGCAATGACGGGAAAAGGCTGAGCAAAGGGCATCTGTCCCAGCGACGGACTGGACTGCACTGTCTTGTCAGAGAGGCCCTGGTTCTCATTGAGGCCGCTCTCCTTTGAACGCTTGGCAGTCGGCGAGGGCGGACCGCGAGTGTTGGGAACAATACGTCCTCCGGCAGTAACCCGGACGTGAGTAGGTGACACAACGGCCTTGTAGAACCGCTTGAAACCTTCGTTAGCCTGGGTCACCTTCCCTCCGGGGGCTGAAATGGGTTCAGTTGAAGCGACGTCTGAATCGCTGCGGCCGCGGTACACCCAGTCGCCCTCGTTTGAAGCGTTAGGGTCTTCGACAATTTGAGTGGCAATGTGACGGTGAGCAGTAGCTTCACGCTTTGGCTCGCGGACTGTGTGATGGGCTTTGTCGAGGTGAGGATCACGAGTTGCCTCGCGGTGAGCGCGACGGCTGGCGTTGCCCTTGAACAAGACTTCCTCAGAAGCCACCGACGAGTCGTCCCAGTGTCTCGGTTTGTGGGCTAGATGCGCTTTGTTATCGGACGATTCGCTTCCTGAGCCTCGGATTATGTCTCCTGGAGGTCCCCTCGTTAGTTCAGAGATTGCGGGGCCATGGGAATGAAGACTGTACTTACCAATCTCAGGATTACCGGAAAACTTGAGCGCAGCACTGCCGATGGAAGGCTGGTGGAGCTCCTTCAGCTCGTCAATGGTATAGCGCCGAGCAGACATGTTGACTTGGATGAAAGAAAACACGTGGTACGTGCGGTGTCTTACGGCACAATGCCAGCTGAACAGTGTCGGATAGAGAACGACCTCGTCGTCGTCGCCAGTTGGCAGATACGGCAGGATAAGAGCCGGAACTGGTAGGGTGGGTATCCGAACGCTAGGACCTCGTGTTAGATGTTGGGCCTCCAACTGTGAGAAGAGGAAGATGGGGCAGGAGTCGAGATATGTGTCGAGCGGTCTGAAGTAGTCGCTTGACTCGATCACAATGGTGACATGGTTGCAAAGCCTGGTGGTGCGGAGGAGGTGCTTTGCTGCGAGGACCATGTACGCTGGGAGAGGTCGGTTGTTCACCTGAAGCTCCCAAAGCACATGGAGGAACTTGCGGACGTGACGAGGATGATGGACAGGTCTCTTGTTGATGATGTTCATCTTGGATGCCAACCCAAATCATCAAGTTCTTTTGATACCACCGACGTTTGTGTATGTGCCTAGATATGTTATGAAGTGCTGCCACACACTTCCAAGATCCGTCCCTGGAGTACAACCTTCCCGGTCTTGCCAAAACCTGGCTCCCCCTGTGTCTCTTCTATGCCCTCTGTGTCTGTGGTGTCTGGTGCCTAAGATGCCGGGAGTGAAGTGTTGCCAATACCCACTCCCCCTTTTTATGTAAGTGCAGTGATGTCCTTTTGTGTCTGTGCGTTTGTTGCCTGATGACAAGCCAAGAAGACGAAAGCAGTATTTAGGGGTACCAGCTGCGCACTTGCACCTGATGTTGTTGTTGTTGTTGTTGTTGTCGTCGTCGTTGGTGTTTCGAGAACTTCACGTGTGAAAGCAAGTGAAGCACGAGTGGGTGACAGTGACTGAACCTGAAAAAAAGACTTACCTCACAACCAAACTTTAGTGTTGGTTTGAGTGATCACAAGGCGGAGCGAGTCAAGCTCAACGATGGAAATGCCGAAGAGGATGAAGTCGACCGATGGCAGAATGGAATGACGAGAGGAAGAAGATAGCTTTGGATAGAGACCAAAAAGCAAAATTTTCCGGTCAACAAAAGTTGGTTAGGAGACCAAGGTAGTGCGGGGTTGGAAGTTTGTTGTTTCCAGCAGAGATGTGGTGATCTTGCTGAAGCCTCGGTGGTTTGGAGGCGACCGGTAGTGTTGGTGTGTATGTCGGAGTGATGAGAGATGGAGAACGACGATGGAGAACGTCTACAGATCAAAAAGAGAGAGAAGAAGAAGAAGGAGGGGTCTGTCTCCAAAGAAGAGAGGAAGGTAGAAGAAGTACCTCAAACTCGATGGACGAGCTTGTGGAAGGCAGAAAGTGTGAGTGGTAGGCTGTCGCGAGTCGTGAGGGATGGTTGTCGCCCGTGACGAGTAACGCTGCTCAGTAAGGCTTCTCGCGCTATCAATATTCAGTCCAAGGATGGAAGGAATAATGAATGCTGTGGTAAGAGTGTCGGATAATTCTGCCTTGTAGAGCTGTCGGGTGTTGGTGTTGTTATTGTTGTTGTTCGTGTGGTGGAAAGTGTGATGGACGCGATGGTCAAAACGACGTGGCTTCCTGAAGTGAGATGGAAAAGAATCCCTCAACTCAGAACGCTACGCTTGGTAAAAATTTGTGGAAGGAGGAGAAAAAAGAAAACGAAGGAAGGAGCAAGGGAGATTTTCTGATACGTATGGGCAGGACCCGAACTCGGAGCTCAGTTTCTGCCCGGCAGAATCGTAACTTCCCATGCTGCCACCCCTTCGGGAAATGAAGGTTCACATCTTGGGGACTTATTCAGGAATGCCTATGCAGCCCGGGTTTCAACCACCCGTTGAAGTGGAGCACCTGCCGTCTTTCTGAGCTGATTTTCGTGGCTGCCACATGGGACGAAGGACACTACAATGGTACCAGTGGAGTAACAAGGGAACAGACAAGACCTAAGAACCGCGTTCTGGAAGGTGCAGAAGGTGATAAAGCAGAGGAAAAGAGGCAGGAGCAAAAGAGGGTAACGACGTCATTTGTTTTGTGTAGCAAGCCGAAGTCGGTCGCTCCAGGAACTCGGTCAGCTTTCCTCTGTTCGGTCCCGGAGAACCACGACCACGACCACGATCACAGTATCCTGGTGGTTGAGATGATACTTCATCCCGCTGACAAGAACCTGGAGAAGCCATGCGTATTGCGGTTGCGGGTGAACCTCCGTCCATACCCACCACGTGCAAAACGGCTCGAGTGATGTTGAGACGAGCACATGGAGTGTGGAATCCTAAACATCAGTAGCCCGGAAAATGAGTAAATGCATGCTGTGAAGCTCTTCTTCCGAGGTGTGACCAAGACGTGGTGATGAGTGCAAGAGTATTGGGCGGTCATTTGTTCAGTCAAGGTTTCTTTATTCTTCTGACCACTCGCAACTGAAGTGTCTGTGATATGAGAAACCGAGACTTGACTGCGTAATATGGAATCTGATATGAGCAAGCAACAGCACAGCTGCGCCCCCTTCCACTTAGGATACATCAATGGAAATAAGCATCTTGCTTGCCAAAAGGACCTGCCTTGTGTGCTCGAAATTTGACGGGGGAGTTCCCAAACGGGTATCGTCATGGCAACTCAAAGGTACTCGGCCACTGCCACCTCTCGGATACACGATATCTCATCCTGCCAAAACGATCTAACAAGAAGGAGCCGGCTCATATCCCCCAAGCTACTGATCCAGCAACGCGACATCGGCCACACACACGGCACAAGACAACCCGAAATCGGAACCCGACGAGGCAGAGAAAAGTGAAAGTAAACGAAGCAGGGTAACTGGAACTGCCAGGGCCAACCGCAAGTGGATGCTTACAAAACTTTTCTTTCCTTGTGTGGCCTTGTTGCCCTGAGTGATAATTTCCTTTTCTTCCATCTCATCCCCTAGCTCATCCTCCCTCTCCACCCAGGGGAAGCAAACAACTAAACCTGCTCAGACTAAGGGCCGTCAAGGTTCCCTTCTGTTGAAAACGCTCGGTCACTCTCTCTCACCGCCTTCCTTTTTGCAGTTCGTCCGTCCTCTCCGTACCTGCCCAGGTAAATGAGTACCTCCCTCCTTCATAGATACCCAAGTACCTTGTCGACGTCACCAGCCAGGAAAGGCAGGCGGTGAATGAACCTCAAGCTCAAGCAGCCCCCCAGACGCCCAAAGTCCACGGCTCCTTCCCTTCCCTCCCACCTCTGTTCATCGCGTTCCAGCTTAGTCTTTGCTGCGTCTTGGCCTCCACATCTGCTTGCCTAACCGTTGCCCCGGTGACGCCGTGCTGGGTCCACTGGTCTTTGTCGATTGTAGACACCGTAGAAACCTTCAGGTGCGTGGTTAGACTGCCGCCTGCCCAGGGACCGAGGGACTCGATCGCTCGAAGCTGGCCTTGGAGGGGTTTGCGGCCGTTCGAGGCGGGGTTAGTACGAGCAAGTTGTGCCTCGATCGGATCGAATTCCGGGACCGAGTTGGCCGCGTCATGCCAGATGCCGTCTTCTTCTTGTCCGCTTGCTGGTGCTGCTGTTCCTCCTTCTCCTGCGGCTCCACTAGCAGCAGTAGGTGGGGACACACCCCCGGGCGTGGTCAAAGTGTTGTTGCTGTTGTTGTTGTTGTTACTGCTGCTGTTGCTGTTGTTTGTTGTCTGGTGCCTGCCGTGCCTCTTCTTGAGTTTCGGGTTCGTCCGTAGTTGTTCCTTGGCTTTTCCGTAGACGGGGTCCCACCCCCTCTCCTGAACAATGTGGCACACTTCGTCGAAAATACGCTTGCGTAGACCCAAGACCGTGGTGCCCCCGCCAGAAAAGATGATTCGGGACATGCAGAGCGCTCGGACGTCGAGAGGAAGCTGGAGAAGGGCGCGGTAGACGAGTAAGTGCACAGGTATCTCGTGGTCGTCGAAGCTGGAGAGAGAGTATTGCGAGTCGAAAAAGGTGTTTTCGCAGGGTTCGGAGAGTTGGTCAAAGGTTACCTCGACAGAAGTTGGGGATCGGCCGGAGCGGAGCGGGATGGTGGTGACTTTGGGTGGCGGAGGTAGTGGTTTCTCGCCGGCAGTGGTTGTGGTAGTGGTGGTGATGGTGATGGTGGGTTTGTCCTCATCACTTTCTTCAACAGTGGCCAGCCCTTCCCCTTCTGGTGTTGCCGGTTGTGGAGGTAAGGATTTGGGTGTCTTCTCTGCCTTGAAGGGCTTGCACCAGACCAGCCGGTTCGCAATGTCGTGACACTCTTCAAAGGACAAAACATATTCTTGCTTGTCGTCTCTGTTGTCTCGTTGGACATGACCAAGTTCTTTGGCAAGGAAACGGTGAGTCTCCTCCGTCAACCTCCTTCCTCCTCTGACTGTTCTCTTAGTTGCCACTTCGCGGTACTCATAGACGCTTGTGACTATCGTCTCGTTCCAGCCGAGATCGACGACAAGCGCGGAGCGTACACCGGCAGCGACGGCCACAGCAACTGGCGATGATAGCAGCGAGACTGTTGGTGGTTGGAAGCGGTGAAAGAGGCTGTCCAAAGCAGCTGATAGAAGAGGGATGGGAAGACCTGTCGGTACAACACATACCATCCTTCGTGGACGAGAGTCGATGAGCATGTATCTGTATCCATGTTAGCATATCCTTGTTGGAAATGGAATGCCTCACCCTGTCGAAACCCACTTCGTGTAAGCCTCCCTCACGGCCTTCTCAACCTTATCGCCAACCTGCCCCAGCTCCAGGCCCCTCACATCCGGCCTCCAAAGCTCATAATCCCTTCCCCAATTACCTCCCGCAGCTTTGGACCTCCAATCCTGGTGATAATCCGTCTGCCAGTCCCTGAAATCACCAATCCTCCGCTGCTGTTCCGGACCAAACCAAACGATGCCCCTAGGCGCCGAGTCCCCGGCAAAGCCTACCTGGATCTTCCGCGTGCCAAAGTCGACAACAATGAGCTCCTCCTCTGCTCGAAGGCTGGATGGCGTGTTGAAAGTAGGAATTGGACGCGCGGGCGTTGATGTGCCGGAGTAGTCACGGTCGCCTCTTTCACGATCACGGTCTCCGCGGTCTCGGTGGCTGGAGCTCTCTCGCTCACGGTGACTGCTGCCACTGCGGGAGGAGGATGTGGGAGCAGCCCCTCGGATGTTGGCGACGCTTCGGTGGGGGAGAGAGGCTGACATTTTGGTGTTGATTGAAGAAAAGAAAAAGAAATTTAATCAATTGGTGTAATCAAATTTATCATCATGGTCGCTTTCGCATCAATTGGAGTTTTGGAGCTCGAGTTGCATGGTCCAGGAAAAAGGGTGATGGACGGTGGACGTGATGTGCATTCAAACGCTTTCAGTGAAGTTGAAGGGCAATTGAAGCCTGAAAGAGATGTCCGCTGACGCTTGTTCGGCTGCTAACACAAGAACCGCCCTTTTTGCGGGAGGTTACTCATCCAGGAATAGACCACCTGTTAAGGATCTGACACCACATCATCCAGGCGGGTCCTGCCGCTGGTAGTCGAGCCAACGTCTGCGCCCCACCTTTGTCCAGAAAGGGAAATGTCGTCAACAACAATTCACTTCTGTTTGCATCTTCCTCCGTCAACCTTTCTTGGTGAGAGCAAGTAAGCACAACGAGCTCATCAATCGCTTTCCTACCATGGCTTGACCTTTTGGCCTATTACTTTTTTGACCTGAAGTGATCACAAACTCGCAGAAAACAAGCCAAAAAATGGGCATCAAAGGGTGAGTGAGCAAACATCATAAAAAAAAAAAGAAAATAAATAAACAAATCGACACGCACTTACCCGGCCGGCCATGCCACTGCAGTGAATGCATTGATCTCTCACTAACAACCCAACCTTACTACCTCCTGTAGCATCTACAAAGAAATCGGCCCCGGGCAACGCATCTCCCTCACCGCCCTCGCCACCACCCACCTCGAAACCACCGGCCGCCCCCTGCGACTCGCAATCGACATTTCCATCTGGCAATTCCAAATCCTCGCTGCGCGGGGCGGTTCCAACCCAGCAGTCCGCACGCTCTTCTACCGACTCGTGCGCCTCTTGGGGCACGCAATCCAACCGCTCTTCGTCTTCGATGGGCCCAACAAACCCGCCTTCAAGCGCAACAAGCGCTCCTACAGCTATGGCAACAGCCACGGCGTGGCGGACGCCATGGCCAAGCGCATGATTTGCTTGTTTGGGTTCATGTGCCATGATGCGCCCGGTGAGGCCGAGGCCGAGTGTGCGCTCCTGCAGAGGGAAGGGGTGGTGGATGCAGTGTTGAGTGAGGATGTGGATACCATCATGTTTGGGTGTCGCAAGACGCTGAGGAATTGGAGCGCTGAGGGGGCGAGATCATCCAAGACGCCGACCCATGTGAGTGTGTATGATGTGGATGAGAGGAAGGGGGGCATCAATGGGTTGGATCGGGAGGGGATGGTGTTGGTGGCGTTGATGAGCGGGGGCGATTACTTGCCTGAGGGAGTACCCGGGTGTGGTGTGAAGGTCGCTTGTGAGGCGGCGAGGGCTGGCTTCGGCAAGGAGCTTTGTGGCATTAGGAGGGCTGATGAGGCTGCGCTGGAGAGGTGGAAGGAGCGGTTGACGAGAGAGTTGAGGACGAATGAGAGTGGGTTTTTCAGGACGAGGCATAAGGCGTTGGATATCCCGGAGGGGTTTCCGAGCTTGGAGGTGTTGAGGTACTACACCCATCCGGTGGTGTCGAAATCGGAGACGGTGCAAAGGCTGAAGAGGCAGTTTCCGGGGAAGCAAGACGTGGATGTGGAGGGGTTGAGGGTGTTTGTGAGGGAGACGTTTGATTGGGAGTATCGGACGGGAGCTGTCAAGTTTTGTCGTGTGCTGGCACCGAGTTTGCTTGTCCAGTATCTGTTGCAAAGGTCCGAGGGTGATGATGACACTGATGATCTGCGTCGTAAGGAGAAAGAGGAAGCAGCGCTCGTCAAGGCGATCAAAAGCCGGAGAACGCATTTTAGTACGGATGCGACTCCCGAGCTGAGGATATCCTATGTTCCGATTAAGGTTGTTACGTTGGATCTGGACGCTGAGCCTGAAGAGGAGGACAATGAGGGTTTCGGTCGGGTTGGGCTGGCTCTCAACAGCGACGATGAGTTCGATGCTGAAGACGAACCGCCAGGTAGCACTCAAGGCGGCAGCAGCGCGAAGCCGTTCGATCCATTTAAGCCTGACCTTGCTTGGATTCCGGAAACGGTTGCTAAACTGGGCGTTCCTCTGACAGTGGAAATCTGGGAAGAGAAGCAACGGGCAAAGGAGTTGAAGGCTGCGAACAAGGGGACAAGAAAAGCACAAACGACGAAGCAAACGGGTGGAATGCCTGCTGGCGCGTTGGAAAAGTACGTCAAGGTCACAAAGGGATCGGCAACTGCTGGTACTGTCACGAAGTCAACGAGCGATTACTTATCATTGGATTCATCACCTCCCAGGTCATCACATATTGCTCCGCCCAGGTCGTCTTACGTCCCTTTTTCCAGTCAGCAACTTCCTCCGCTTTCGTCAGATCGTTTCGAGACAGCAACAACTACCTCACTTAAGACCACAACAAGCAAAGGTACCACAAAGGCATCTTCCGCCCGGACTAGCAAAAAGACAACAGCAACATCACGACCTCCATCCGGCAACCCTTGGTCACTCGCCGGTTCACAAGCAAGCACCAAGATCACGAAGAACATTGCATCTTCTCAACCAGCAGCAAAAACAAGCCTTTTCGACCACGAACCTATTCTGATCTCGTCCAGTCCATCGGTTCCCGGAAAGAGATTGCCAAATTCCCCACTGGAGAACAACAGGCTGTTTTCGCCAGATCCATTTGGCAGTAGTCCGCCGCGGATTGCTCCTTGGAAGGAAAGGCTACCGGCAACAAGAACGACGTCAGATCCCACACGGCACCCTTCTCAAAGATCTATGCGCGATGAAGAACCAGTACGGTGGCGATCTCAGTCATCAGCATTAGCAAGTTCACCGAGGAAGGGACCGGCGTTTGGCAAAGACAAGACGCCCACCAAGCAAAGGTCAATCTTGGATTTTGGATACCCTTCTACTACTAAGGAGCAAGCTGGGTCCAGGTTATTTGGCAGGACACAGAGCGCCGTCTTGCCTTCCACGACGGGTAAGACGCTTGACCCGCTATCGGATGATGACGAGGAGTTTGAAAAAACAATGCTTGCATCACTGAAGAGCAGTAGGCTAAAGACCTTTGATTCTAAACCACCACACCGGGTACATGTAGGCACCTCGTCCTCGTCTTCATCACTTTTTCCGAGGAAGGAACATAACAACTATGCACTTCAGGACGAGACCGACGAAGATGCCGAGCTCGAGAAAGCAGTTCAGGCCTCGCTCAAGGATATCCGACCGACAAGTTCGGCACCTGTTGCTTCCTCTCGAACGCAGGCGCACTCTCCCTTATTCCGGAGACACAAGGCCGACCTCAACAGCCTCCACGAAGAAGAAGACTCGGATGACGATGACTCGTTTGTCTCCATTGGAGCATTGACTCGTCAAAAGTCGCCATCCCCGTTACGACCACGAGCGACGGCCACTCTTTCGCCCTCATCATCAGCAAGAAGGGAGCTAGCAAGAGAGAAAAGGTCCTCGCCGGCTTTAAGATCATCACCGGTTCCATCTCCAAGAACATTCCAGCGAGCAGAGAGTACTAGGAGCAATCTCTTGGGCAGCAAATGGAACTGGAGCGCCCTGGAAGGTGATGCTGGACACAGTGCACAGGCAACCAGCACTGACAGAACGCTTAGAGAAGCAAGTGTTGGTTCCTCCAGAGCAACTCCAAAGAGAAGTCATTTGTTTCCTGGCCAGGACCAGGATTTAGCAGAAGACGAGGTCACCAGTAAAGAGATGCGACATCACACTGCAAGGGAAGGCAGCAGCAGAAGATGGCGGTTGAGCGAAGCATCGGTTATTGATCTCACCGGTGATAATTGAGTGCATAGATATTGTATACCTTTCTGGCTACATACCTGTTAGAATTGTTATTATAATCAATCTTGGTAATATCGTTGAGTGTTGCTTCATCTCGTCGTCGAGCCACTCTCATGTCCCAGTACCATCCACCCCTAACCCTGGCCAGGAACACCTCTGCCCGAAAGTCACTGTCGGCAACCTCCGTTCTGCCAGCCCCGAGCACAGACCAGCCCGAATGCAGAAGGCGGTCAGGGCTTTTTGGCGGACCCCACAGTTTTGCCAAATTGCACCCACAAACTACTTGACCTTCAAATTTTTGCTCTTTCTTCTCTGAGAACGCGGAGATTCTGAATTCGGCATCCTTCCTCGGTCGGCACAAATCAGTCAAAATGGTCAAGGTCAACAACTGTGAGTACCACCACCGTCACCGTCAGCCATCGACATGACGAATACCGAAATACTGACAATGGAATAGCCGTCTCCTCCAGCCGCCGCAAGGCCCGCAAGGCGCACTTCAGCGCCCCCTCCAGCGTTCGTCGCAACATCATGAGCGCTCCCCTTTCCAAGGAGCTCCGTGAGAAGTACAACGTAGGACATCTCCACCCCAACAAAAAGCACAGAATGGGAATCTAACAGCTTAAAGGTCCGCTCCATCCCCATCCGCAAGGACGACGAGGTCACCATTGTCCGCGGCTCCAACAAGGACAAGGAGGGCAAGGTCACTTCCGTCTACCGCCTCAAGTACGTCATCCACGTCGAGCGCGTCACCCGCGACAAGGCCACCGGTGCCTCCGTCCCCGTCGGCATCCACCCCTCCAACGTCGTCATCACCAAGCTCAAGCTTGACAAGGACCGTGAGGCCATCCTTGAGCGCATCAAGCGCGGCCGTGAGCTCGCCAAGCCCACCAAGGTCTCCGCCTAAATTTGTCCGACCGATTTGACGACGGAAGGATGAGTGGAGGAGGGGTGGTGTGATGGCCTCTCGCAATACCATGCCTCTTGACGTTCGGAGTCGCCGTACGATCTCAGGGCTTCGACTCGACGACAAAAGGGCCTTGATACCCACATCCAAATATCGCCCTTTTTCTATCTTGGCGAACGAATGGTTCACGGCATACACGACGATGAACTCCAACTTCTATACTACTAAACGACTGGCAACAAAGCGACGGCCGTGTGTCTAGGACCTTGAGTGCTGGGCTCGTTTCTCAGTACCCGTGCTAGCGCTGCGGAGGAATGTTCGCAGGACCCGTGGGTCGGTAGAGGGCAAGAGGAGGAGTATTACGAGAAACCAGAGCAACAAGAAAAAAAATTCGAGACAGTTTTATTTGTTCTCAATGGCCATTTCACATACAACTTGCTGCCTCTGCGCTTCAAGCTTGTGAAATGCTCCATGGGAGGTTCTCCCGAAGTTATATCATCAAGCCTGGTTGCTCAGAGGTTTGCAAGTGCATGTCTGCACTTGTGACTTTTGTGTTGTTTCAGTTTGCTACTAACCTTGACATGTCACAGGCCTCATCATCTTGGACCTCACATATCTGGTCGTTACTTGGACCAAGGGATGGCAAACCTCCCTATGATATCCCCTTTCTGGACTTGGACACCTTCCACAGTGTAAGGAACGTAGAATTTGACCAAATTATTTGGACTATATGACCGCCAGATTATCTCCGCGTTAACCACAGCCCCACGGTTCTCGAGGTATACGACTGGCGAAGATCAACCCAACCAGAGGACCCTAACCAGGAACCCTACTGGTCTCACCTGCAGACTTCCTTGGAGAGCACTCGATGATATTGGAGGTTTGATGGTGAGGCACATCTTCGTCTGTCGGACTGTAGTTGATAGCAATACACTATTCTCTCAGAAACTTTCACTCGTTGAGCCTCCATGCCATGTATGGTGACACTCAAACATCCAACTTGTTGATCCCCTCCTCGGCCTTCTCCTTCCACTCGGGCCTCCACCTCGTCAACGGCGGCCGATTCTCCACCACATCCCCCATAGCCCACACCATCCTCCGCTTGTCCATGTCCTCCGTCACATCATTATCCGGACAAATCGCATAAAACTTACCCTCCTTCATCTTTTCCTCCAAGTAATCCACCACCTGCTCCGGCCACCACGCCCCCTTCGGCTTTTCCTTCTGTGCTCCCGATGTAGCAGCGCCCGTCATGCCCGTAAACGTCCACCCGGGAACCAACAAGTGCACCGAAACATCCGGATGCTCCTTGGCCAAATCAAACGACAAGTGCTCCGCAAGCGACCTGACAGCGGCCTTGGACGCATTATACGCCGGATTCGCAGGGGGGTTGGTGATTCCCTGCTTGGATCCCGTGATAATCACCGCACCCTTTGCACCCTTCTTCCCCTTCCCATCTTCTTTTGCAGTCGCCTGAACCAAGGGCAAAAGGGTAGTAACCCCATTAATCACGCCAAATAGATTCGTCTGCATGGTTTCGTAAAAGTTCGTCGGGTCGGGGTTACTGAATGACGTAGGAATGTATCTACCAGCGTTGAGGGCGAGGACGTTGAGTTGCCCGTGAAAGACGTCGTCGATGTGGGACTTGAGACGGGTCCAGGATTCGAGGTTGCTGACGTCCATTTCGAAAGTGAGGAGGTCGGGGGAGGAGGAGAGGGAGGAGAGAGAGGAGATGTCTTTGTCGGCGATGAGAACGCGGAGGCCGTAAGACAAAAGACGTTTGGCGAGGGCGAGACCGATGCCGGAGGCGCCGCCTGTTATGAGGGCCGTGTTGCCTTTTTGGAAGGCCGCGGGGGCGGAAGGGGTGGAGGAGGACATGTTGATGGTTTTTCTGGGTAGGTAAAGCGAGGTAAGCTGGGAGGTTGTTAGTTGGTTTTATTGAGATTTCGGAGGGAAGATTTTTGAGATGGTGGAATGGTGGATGTGGTGATGGAGGTTGTCAATGGTTGTGGTGAAGGATTGGAAAGTACCTATCGATGACGTATATGAAGACTGTGGGAATTTCGGAAATCGATCGTTTACAGGGCTTTTGAATTGGGCTTTGAAGATCACTTGAACTTACAACTAGATTCTGTGGAAAATGTATCTCGAGAATAACCAAGTGGCTTGATTGTTGATTTCACCTTGATAGAAGGAAGATATTTCTACTTTATATATATGAAGGTTCACGGAAGTGACGGGATATTCACAAGACTGACTGCTGGAGAGCCCCTCTTCCCCTATCCCCACTTGCTACGGACATACAAGATGGTTAACTCCGATGATCAATGGCTCGTCCTACCGATAACTTTCGGACTTTAGGTGTTCGACAACACTTCTGTTTGCTCAACTTCGTTCTCCAGTAACTACGTTTTAGAGAAAAGGTAAATACAGCTTAGGTGGATCATGGGACTCACCCTGGACATCAAAACAACAACAAAAAAAAAGAGCTGGCATCATTCACCATATCAGTTAGCAACGTATATCATTTGACATGCTTTCGAGTATGGGGTATCCTTTACATTTATTCGAAATGCTCTGAACCAGGGAGCTATATACTATAAGAACATGCCCTCATTATATCGTCTGTTCCAACTCTGACATGTACATGCCATCCATCATATATCGTTCAACATAGATGCCAAAAAAGAGGTTAGAAGAGACAAAAACTGGTGTTTGTGAGAACAGGAAAACAGAAGTGGAAAAGTATAGCAGAAAACAAAAAGGGGGTATAAAGAAAAGACGCCAAAGTCTCTCTGTCCAAAACATCCATCCAACCAAATCCCAACATCCGCCCAAATCCTTACGTCTTCCATCCATCCCTAACCAACGCTGCGCCCGGTATATATTTATAGTAAACAACACAGAAAAGCATCATCTTAATCTCCATATCATCGTTCCTTCATTCGCTCGTTCGTTCCTCCACCATGTCCCATCACTCATAACTCATCCACGGTAAATCCCGATCATAAACCGTCGTACAAGTCAAATACCCCAGCATGCTGCCCCCACTCCCACCACTTCCATCTCCCCTCCCCTCTTTTGTTGTTACGGGATTCCCACTTCCCCCGCCGCCGGAAATCTCCAGTTCCAGCCCACTCCCCATCAATGGCCGAACCACCTCTCTCGCCATGGCTTTCAGCTCTTCGATCCGCTTCTCGAACCGTCTCAGATTGTCGCGGTTGTAGAGCTCGGGCGAGAGTTTCAGAAAGCGCTTGCAGTCGTCGTAGGTGAGGTACTCCTTGGGCGAACCGCCCAAGAGACGAAAAGTGCGACCTAAAGTGGCGAGGTTCGGGGTCGTTGTTGCTGATGTTGTTGTTACTGCTGCTGCGTAGGGGTCGCCTCGGGGACCGGAATTGGAGTTAGTGTTGGAACCTGATGCAGACCCGGAGCTGGAACTATTATGGCGGGCCCTATTGCTCGTGACGTTGTTGTTGCTGGAACGGTGTCCATGTCCATGTCCGCCGCGACTATATCGTTCGGAGTTGTGGTGTTTATTGGAGGAGGAGGTATACTCGGCCGAAGAAGGAGGCGGGGAGGTGTTTTCTGCTAGCCATTCGCGGAAAAGACTGACGGCGAGCCAATCGACGTAACCATTTCCCGGCCCTACCCTCTCTCCTCCGCGTCCGGTGACGCCTAAGCGGAAGAGTCGTGCTTCCACGCGTGAAACGACCTCTTCGAGCTCGTCGACTTTGTCTTCAATGATATCCACCACCGACTCGGGCATCGCTGCTCTGATCGACCGTTCGCCCGCGGGCCACTGGCCTACAACGTGTATCAGCGCCTCCTGGAAGATGACCTTGCTCCTGGCCAAGTACCCCAGCCGCAGATAGGAGATGGGGTATTTAGCTATCTGCCGCCATAACCGCGACTGGAACTGCAGCAAGTGGTGATCGACCCGTGGCCCGACGACGGCTAGCGCATCGTACTGGTCGGCGAGCTGCAGCAGAGACTTGCATTGCACGTAGGCGTCCGGCAAAGAAATGGGGTCAAGGGTGGGCGGGTAGTTGTACATGATACGGAAGAGGTTGTCGTAGTCGCGGAGGAGGTCGAGGTCTGCCTGAGGGGGTTCTTCCCTTGCCGAGGGAGAGTTCTGGTGGTGGGATTGACGGTGGGAGGAGTGGGATAGCGAGAGGTTGGCGACAGAGCGGAAGAAGGAATTGGATTGGGTGTGGTTGGACTTTTGGCTGTTGCTGCGGTGTCGGCCTCCCGAGGACCCTGATCCTGACCCGGAGCCGTTGCCGAAGATGGAGGATTGGGTTGTTGGAGGGCCGGAGGGTGTAGACGGTATTGGTGGTGGTGCTAGTGATGCAGAGGACTCGTCCTTTTGCACGAGCATGGGGATGTCGTTGTCGTCGGTGCCGGTGTCGAGTTCGTATCGCCATCGCTTTTTGGGGCTTGTTGAATCCTGCGTCGCCCTTGCTACTGTTCCTGTTCCTGTTCCTCCTGCCCCGTTCCCGCTGCTCCCACCCTTGGATGCGCCGCCCGGCGCGGGCAACTCTGGTATTACTCCTTCTCCCCCTCCCCCTCCTGCTCCTGGAACCGTCTGGGCGCGCGACCATTCCTGGCTGGTGCTGGCTTCAAAGAAACCCGAACACCTCGTCAAAATGTGTCGATGCAGTAGGTATCGGTTCTCGAGTCCGCAGGGGACGCGCACGACGATCTCGACATCGCCGCTATGGCTGAAAACAGGGAATTCGTTTTGCGGGATGAAGGAAGCGCCGCCGGCGTGGGAGCGGTTATATCTTCGAGCTCGCGACGAGACGTACGGGGTCGACGAGCTAAAGTTGCTGTTGTTACTGCTGTGGTGAGCGTGGCCGTGGCCGTGGTGGCTGTAGCTGTCTCGGTATGTCGCCCGCACGCCGGTGCCACCAGCGCCGCCCACGACCGAGGATGGTCCCCGCAACGCCAACATGGACACATCCCGGTCGCTGGCGCCGCCGCCCACCCCAAGTGAGCCAACACCAGGGCCGGGCCCGGGCCCGTATTGCGCAACCATGGAATGTTTGTTTTGTTGTCGAGTGTCGCAATATGGAGCGGAGCGGAGTGTATCTGATGCGCTGTCCGAATGTGGCCTGACCCGGGCGATGGAGGGGAACCGGAAGATGCCCTGGCGTCAGTTCAGTGGATGCGCGCCACTGTTGGAAGCGCAACACTCCCGTCGTTGGGTTGTGAACCCAAGTTGCCCTTTGAGGTTCCCTTTACTTGTTTCCTGAACTTGGATTCGGTTTCCTTTTGTTCCTCCAGCACCGTAAAGGAAAATCCAACTCTTCTTTTACTCTTTTCTTTTTCTTTTCTTTTTTTCTTCTTGGCCTACACTGGGCTGGGCTGCCTCACTTTCTTCCTTGTCGTCAATCGTCGCCGTCCCGCTTCACTTTCTTGGCTTCCCTTGTGAGTGGTGAGTTCTCGAATTGGTCGGGACGATGGATGGATGGACAGCTGGCTGCCGGGCCGTCGCCTGCTGTGGGTGGTTGGGTTCTTAGCTGTTGAAGCTGTCTGAGGGGTCAATGCTGCTGCTGCTGCGACTGGAAGCTGCGAGCGTCAGATGCATGCATCAATGCACGCAGGCAGGACGGAAGGAGGCTGGTTTCCTTCTCTCTCTCTCTCTGTCGCAATCGCGGGCAGCTGGGTCCCGTAGAGTGACACAGACTGGAGAATTCTGGTCCGCCGTCTGTCTGCCTGTACAGCTTTTGTTTTCGAGAATATATGTGATCGTGTATGTGTTTGTGTGTGTATGGGGTTGTACGCGTTGCGATGCGATACGATGCGTCTTGTGCGTTTCCTCTCTCTCTCTCTCTCTCTCTCTTGCTCCAGTTCGTCTCGTCGTCGTCGTCGTCGTCGTCGTCGTCGTCGATGTCGTCTCGTATTCCGCTTCACATAAAAGGGTAGAATAATACCATGCAAATAAAGTGCAAGGGAAAGAAGGTCTAGAAAAAGAGCTGCAGGGACAAGATCAATGACGGGAAGGGAGAAGACATGACCTGCAAGCAGAGGCAGAGTCTCAGACAGGATCAAGAACTAGGTAGAAACAGGAGCCGGATCAGGTACAGTACCGCTCGGCGCACGACGTTGCATCCAGACTGAAATCGCCAATGTAGTGAGTGTTCAGGTGAATCAAGTAGATGAGCGCGGTGTTTTTTTTTTTTTTACAGACCTCAATTTCTCAAGAGGCGATTCAACAACAAAGGGAAAGAAATCTCAAGGGACGGGCAGTTCAGATATTCCGTTTTTTTCTTGGAAGACACCCCTGCGTTTAGTTCGGTTTGTAGAAAAAAAAAAAAAAAAAAAAAAAAACCTGAATAAGATGGAAGCTTCTTTCAGCCCAGTTACCCAACACCCGGCACCGGCACGGCCACAGAGGCCACTAGTAAACAGCTGAACTTGTCAAGGCTTGTGATCTCCGGTCGAGGCTGTGTCAGCTGTAGACTAGCTTGTCATCGTGTGAGTTGGTAGTGTAGTCGATTTCGTTGAGGACGGTGGATGGCAATTGATGGCGATATCGCCACAGAGAACCACAAGGGAAATACCACCCACTACCAAAAGTTATTCGTAGTCCAAGTGGTGATGGCGGTGGTGGTGGTGTGTTGCTGCAACACACTCTGAGCCACTCAAAATGACTGGCGAGATTTCCACTGCTGCTGCTGCTGCGAATGCGATTGACAGAAAGACCGCCGCGATATTGAAGCTTGGTTTCTTGAGTCGCCAGGGGCTGGTCACATGTAATCAGAGTCGATGGAATGGTTCGAAGTGGTTCCAAGTCGTCGTGGTCGTCTTGTTGTCTTTGGTGTGAGTGGTCGGCAAGCGGATGGCAGCCTCAAACGATTGGCGAAGGTATAAGATAGAGGTATGATACCATAGAAATGGAAACTCTTTCACCCGCAAAGTCGGTTGCGGAAATGCATTCGAGATCAAGTACCAGGTATGCAATTTACATAGAAAAGAAAACCAATCTTCTATGATGATGCCATGAGGTTTGCTGTTGTTCCACTCAACCGGTTGGTCCTGAAAAGGTGGAGCTGTGGTTGATGCAAGTCTTCCTTTGTTCAAGAAACCTCGAAGCCAGACAAAGGATTCCCTTCTGCCTGTGCATGAACCTCTGTTTCGACTTGTTTTTCTTTTTCTTTATTATTGTTGACATCCAACACGAAAACAGTCAAGCATGCTCTCGGCCAATACACAACGACTGGAGGCAGGCAACCTGCAGCGCACCGCGCACCACACCGCGCATGGCGCATGGCAACCGACAATGTCGTGAGCATTGCCTCACCTCGCGACCTGTAGCTTTTTTTTTCATTAGATCGAACTGGCCCGCATCGAGTCGCGTTTTCTTCAGGTAGAGGTATCTTCGAGCCTATCAGATTGGTTGTTTCTGTTCCTGTCTCTTCATGTTGGCCTTACCGTCATTGGCTCAGCACAGCAGGAGCGACATAACTGGCTTATACAGCCTTGTTGACGTGGTACAAGCAAATTGGCTCTTCGCCCCTGCTTTCGAAGCTCTCAATCTCTGGGTACCTCTAGTTTTGGGGTTCTCTGCTCTTTATCGTCTGCCTATTCTTTAGATTTTAGTCAATTAAAAGACAGAGGAGAAACCTTCCGTTGATTTGCATAGCATAGCATGGCATAGCATAGCATAGCATAGCATAGCATAGCATGGGTAGTTAGTTAATAGAAGTGATGACTCGTACACTACAACCCTACTATGTATGCACACCTAGGGAGGTGCCTGACCTGAGATGAGTTTATTGACTGCGACCTTGAAGGGAATTGTTACCTAGGTAGTCTCGTCATCCATTTGTGCTGGCTTCTGCAAGTAAAAGGTCTCGGCCCTCCAACAAACCCCTTTTCTCCTCTGTCAGTTATCACGACCAAATACCTCTGGGTGTTTCTCCTGACATTGAATGATGATGTCCTCGAAGAGAGCGCGTGGTTACCCGCATCCCCTCGAGTCCAGTTTGTGGTTCACATACACGTCCCCATGCGTCCCGATGCACAACTTTCGTCAGGTTTCTTTGAGACAAGTCCATTCGTCCAACTTTCTTGCTGCTTCCGGCCGAGAGGGGCAAAGATCAAAAAAAGATGAGAACTGACACTTCTGAAGGGCTAGAGGGATGGCCGTAAAAGAGATGGAAGTAAGGGAGGGCGAAAAAGTCTGTCTGTCTGTTTGTTCTTTGTTCAGTGCACAGGAAGGTTGGTTGGTGTCACTGCATTGTTCCACCTTCAGGGCGTAAAAGGTTGCGATAAGATAAGGGTCGAGCTGCTCATAATCGATATCAAACTAACTTGGTGAGCCGAAGACTGTGTAGAATACTGATAGTGCATTAACTGACAAAGGATTTGACTCGGATCTGTAGGCACAGCGGGAGGTAGGGTTGTCGGCGACATCAAGAAGCACATCCATCTTCTCGCATCCCATCAAAGTCTTTTCCATCGAATAGAAGCTGCCTCCGAAGGCTATCAATTGCTTTAGTTCGAATCGAAGAATCACAGCTCGTGGCGGGCTGAACCTCGTCGGGTCGTGGTCGTCTTGGCATCCTGATCCTGATCCGCCGAGCACACGCACTGCACAGACAGGAGAGGTGAGAACAGAGGACACGCAAAGATCATCAGGTCCTTTGGGAGTCGTTCATCGTTTACAATCACATCCTAGTACCTACCGAGCTTCAAATGGGGACCTACACTTGTCTTTCAATGACGCGAGAGCCGGTTGGATGGCACTGCCTAGGGCAAGACCACTGACATCAATTGTGGATGCATCGCGCTCACAGAGACAGCGAGAGCAATTAAACTTCACTTGGCATTTCGAAGCTCTGATTGAAGAAGAACCTCGAGCCCCCAGTCTTGGGATCCGCTCGCTTGTCTTATCGTACTCACCGCCTGGACTTTTCCGCCAAATAATTTCTCTAGCTTTTACTTTGCATAAACAACCAAGAAACCAATCACGACGACCTTACTTGTTTGCTTGCTTGATCATGACTTCATTTGTTTTAAACTTCTATTCTTACAGATCGATACACTTTGCATTGGCGTTGACGTTCGCTTATGTCGCCCGCTCGTCCCATTGTAACCCCCAGAAAGTACCCCGAATTTACCGCCGAATCGTTTGTCGGAAATCAGAAAAAGAGTTGAACCGGAGACACATTATTGAAAGAAAAAAAAGAAACCTCGTAAACTGTTTGCGTAAATGATAAATAAAGCCATTGAAAGTCAGTTCTGATGAAAGATGTTGATCAAAAGATTCGCAGGAAAAATCGAATCGCTGGCAGAGTCGTTAAGCCACACTGTGGCCATTCGTGACCTCTTTTGTCGTTCGCCAATCAACGCCCGTAACGCATGTCGCCCAGTCCCCTTTAACGCCAACCAACCACAAAAGAACACCCCGAGTTCAAAATTGAAAGAAGAACGCTTTGTTTGATGCGACGCTCTAGCTCATGTCCATCTCGCTGGCAGCATCAAAGATGGATGGGCCAGCATTGGAGGGCCTGGTTGTTTCAGACGCATCCATGGTGACAGGGCCATCAAAAACAGGCGGTGTTCCCTTGAGATTTTGCAGCATGCCGTCGGCAGTCTTGCTGACAAGTCGTCCTTGACGAAGGTTCTCGGCGAATAAAAAGTACCCTTCGGTAGCCTCAACCAGGTACGCCTGCAGGCCACGACTTTCCAATAGGATCTTGGCATTGGTGACGGGGTAGTGGTTTTCAATGTAGCGCGCCCAACCACGAGCTGCGACTTGGATGTTCTCGCCAATTCGGGCCCACCCGATGCCGAGGTGAACGGTGAAGTCGTCAACGATTGGGCCAGCCAACGAATCCGATGAGGCGGTCATTGGGTTGCTTGTGTCGCGCAAGGGGCTGCCGCCGCGACTGGTGGGATTGCTGTTGGAGGAGCGAACATCGAGCCGTTGCGATTTGTGGCTGCGCAAGGATGGTCTATCTTGGGACATTTGTTGCTGCAGGCTGAGAGCCTCTTCCGACTTGCGTGCTGTTTCGGCGGCAGCCTTCTCATCGACCCAGGTGCCGGATTGGCTGCTGGCATCTGCGACATATCCGCCAGTCTTTCTGATGAGAGTCATTCCAGGGCCGTAGACCCATTCGTCTTCCGACTCCTGGATGACGGGCTCAGCAATCTTCTCGGGAGGATCGAGGTTGACGGCGGCTTCATCGCGCGAGCGTTTGCGGCCGGCCGCGGAGCAGTTGCGGAGGAGTTGCGGCCATGAGACGTGCTGGCTGAGCGAGGCTTGTTGGTCCAGGTAGGACTTTCCAAACGAAAAGTTGTGGGCAACCTGTGCTGGCATGGCGACGACGGGCGACGAGGCGTAGTAGCGATCGAAAGACGGCATGATGGGTGGTGGTATCTGTTTAGCACTCGGTAAATGTGTAAGGCGAGGGCGTGTAAGTCGCAGGTGATCCGACACTGGTCAGATCAGACGCGCGGTGCTAGTGATTTTACGTGTAGTAGACGGCAGCGTCTAGAAGAAGGAATTGGCCGGAGGGTATCGATGTAGTTGGCCAGAAGAGGGAGGATGTGATGTCGTGATTGGGAGATGAGGACTTGGAACGTCCTACGAGGTAAGGTGAGTAAGTGATGGTATAAGCTGGCGCCAAGGTTGGTTTGGTATAAGCCAGAGTAAGGATGGTTGATAGACGACGAGGAGGAAGAGGATGGAGGAAGGTCTTATATCGTTTGGAGGAGCCTCGTGATCAGGAAGGATGGTGTTGGTGGAAGAGGGTCGAGGTAGATATAAGTGAGAGTAGTGAGGAAGGAGAGAGAGGAAGAGGATGGGACGGAAGAAGAGGAGGCAGTGTGGGTGTGTAGAAAAAAAAAAGAATGGAGAGAGGAACGGGGATCCGAGGACAATCAGATCACAGCAGTGGAAGCGATGGAAGAGGAAGGACAAAAGTGAAGTACATGGCAGCAGGTAGCTGAGGTACCGTGAGAAGGATGGGGATGGATGGGGATGGGGACAGGACGGGATGCAGGCGGCGAAATGTGGAGAGAGCAAGCAAAAAGAGAGGCAGAAGACGGGGACCGGCGAGACCTCAGACCCCAGGCCATCGTGGTGGTGGTGGACGTGCCATTCAGTTGTAGACGACGGGATTGTGTGGAAGCGCAAATGTGTGTGGGAAGCTGGAGGCGCGAGACTGCGACTGCAAGAGACTGGCGAGACTGTGTGCATGGCACGAGAAAGGCAGACAGAAAGGAACTTGACAAGGCAACTGGATCGAGCTGACAGGCGCACAGCCGCCGGCTGGCACGGACGGGGGAGGGTTCGAAGCCACTTGCCGGCATCTGTCAATCCCTCTTGATTATTGGCCAGGACGCCATGACCCGGACTGACAGCAGTAGGCCGTACCTACGTATCCCACTCGTTGCCGGCAGTACAGGCCGCGGCAGCCAGGGCATCGATTGCACTAGGTACAAAGGCACCAGCTTGCTCAGTAGCTCAGGTACATCGCGCCAGGAACCGCCAAGCAACGCCGGGGTGCGGCAATCGCCTGCTCGATCTCCAATTGGCGTTTCGGAGGATAAAGCGGGCCATAGCCATTCCATGGTATTTCATTGGCTTGTTGGCTCTGGGGCAGAAGAAGGATGGAAGCCCGGGCCCGGGGCAGTTTTTTCCAGTTTTCTTGCGGAACATCTCATAGCTCCGAATCCGGTTAGACTGTCACACTGGAACTGAGCGTTTCTAGGGCGGGCGGTTTGCCCTCTTGTTCACAAAAAAACACTCAGAAAAGGGTGGCAGGCAATCCCGCCCGCCTCGCTTTTTTTTCCCGGAGGACGGGACCTCGACAGGAGCCACCTCAGTTACGTCCATACCTTAAGCCCGCGCTGGTCGTCTCCACTCGGGACGCGGTCCAAACTCCAAGAATGTCACCGAGCCAAAAGTGGTTAGGAAATGGCGTGTGCCTAGCCAGCAGCACTAACAGTATGCTTCACTTTGGAAGTAAGCCAGCTGTTAGTGATAGCCAGTACCACGTCTCATATTCTTCTCACACTCCTGTGCCGCCGCCGTTGAGAAGGAATCTAGATGGCTCGTGCCCTGTCTGAGCCCCGGCCACCAAGTACATCTCGATTTCTTCTCCCCGATGAGGCCGGGCGGCAGATTCCAGCAAAACTGCACCGACTGAATCGCGCTGAATCCCGTGTTGGAGCGACTCCACTCATTGCTGGGCTTCCCCACTTTCGCACTTTCCGTTTCGCTTGCGGAAATCTTACACCCCTGCGTTGGTACGTTGTTCGTTTCTTGACGCCCTTTGTCTGCATCAGCCAATGATGTGGCATGCTCGTGGGCCTCTGTGATTTTTCCCACCCCTTCCTCTTGCAGCTCCCGTCCCGGTCAGCTGACTGCCGACATACTTGCCTGCCGAGTAGTGTAGATGTCCGTGCACCTTTTTGCCTTGGTAGAGGTACGTACCAAGTATCTTCGTACCGCAGACCGCCTCACTGATAACCTCCAATTGTGCAACGAGTTGTGCAAGTTGTGAGGTTGTGTCGCGTAACGAACCGAACGTGACCTCAGTCCTCGCTTCGCTGTCTGTCTGTCTGTCTGTCTGTCTCAGCTATCCTTCCCATCTTGGTCCCTCCACATCCTTTCCCCTCCCAACGAGATCTCACATGACTGGGCGGCTCGGCTCGACACACAGCCCTTCGCTGCAAATCATATCCCTCTTCATTTATCTCTCCATCACCAACCAGCCTCACTTGCGCGCCTTGGCTGCCCACTTTGCTCCCACGACGTAACAAGATGGAGACCGAACCCTGAAAGAGCGAGCCATGTCAGGACTGCTTGACTGGTCAATGATGGGACGATCACGCAGAGGTGGTGGAGTTGACCATGATGATCCCTTATTTTATAAGTGTATTTTTATGGTCTCCATCCATCAGCGACAAACAGCAATCTATCTAGTATCGATGTAACGACGACGGAGCTCCTTCCAACAACGAACGGGTGGCGGACTGTCTCTCTCTGTCTTGTCTTGTCCTCTTTGATAACAATGCCATCACGGTGCATCAACCACACATCACCCATCGCCAACAACTTAACACTGCCAAGCAAGCCATTACCTCATGCCCCCGTCTTCATCTTACTACCTCTCTTACCCATCACCCACCCTTACAACTACGTTCTTCGTCACATCGCATTTCACCCTCTCCAAGCTTTTACCTCACAAATGCGCCAGAGACGCCGATGCTTCCACATCACCACCCTCATCCCCTAAAACATCAACAAATACTAGCCCATCATCCGTGTGATTCTCCGTTCCTCCATACAATCCCACCATTCCGGGCGTCCTCAATCCCTGTGGACTCGGCTCTCTTCTGCCCCCATGTCTCATTCGCCTCAGCGCCTGACTAGTCGTCGGCGTCCTTTGCTCCAGCGAGAATGAGGTCCGCCAACCGGCAGGAACCGTAAACGATCCTTGTCCGACTAGTCGACTCTGATGCCTTGCTTCGGGCAAGTTCTGCGGTGTTCGAGGCTGTGAGGATGCCGGAAGGGAGTCATTATAGACCCGGAACGTTGCGGGCGTCCTAGCGGGAGTGGTAGCGGGTGGCCTGGGCGTCATAACGCGTTGGCGAGATGGTGTGGTCGGGGATTCATTGACCGGTGCAGGGCGGGTGCTGCCAGTGCTGACGCTGGTGGGTGAGGCGGCAGCCGGGGTACGGGTTCTGCTGCTGGCGAGACTCTCTGATTCTAAGCCTTCAGAGGGTGAGCTACCGTGACGGGGAAAAGCGGCCGTCATGCTTCTGGAAAAATGGACGAAGGAGGATGGAGTTTGCGAGTCTGAAGCTGCGGCATGAGAGTCCAGGGTAGCACGAGGGGTGCCATCCCGATGATGGCTTCCAGCGGCATTCGGAGTCGTGCACTGGCAATGACCCTTTAGTCAAGCTGAACGGATATCCATAAAGTCATGGTATCTACTTACCTCACCACCGGGACGAGATGCGGAGGCGGGTTTTGCTGCAGGAGAGGGAGTGGCCGTCCGGGTCCTAATGGTCAGATTCTGAAACGAGAGTTGAAATTGCTCAAAACTACGGGCCCCATCTCTGTTGCTACGTCGCGCAGACGACGTCCCAGTCCGTGGTGTCGTTTTATGGCTTGCAACTGTCTGGCCAACCGAGCTTTGGGCTGGCGATCGAATGTTGCTGCCAATCCTTGGGCCGGACCTTGGCGTTCTAATCGGCAGCTGACTTCGAGACGAGCTAGCTTGGGGCTGCGGGTCAAGATCACGCTCATCCCCAGCACCATCAACAGACTGCTCGCAGTTACGCTGGTCAAAGGAGGCATCATTGGGGTATGGCGGCCGGGCAGTGGGGACCACTTCGGTCTGCTCTTCAGGAAAGCGGGCCGATAAAACGGGGAGCTGGACAGGTTGTTCTGCATCGTCATGATCGAGGATGTCTGTCTCCTCATCACTGTCGCTGTAGTCCAGCAACGATGGAGAGGAAGCCCCCGACGTAGCGTTTTCAGAGGCGCGCGTGCAAAAGGGCCATCTTCTCTTGCTGCTGACCCGGCGGTAACCCCTGCGACGTTCTTCGACTTCTTTCACCTCTGCCATGGTTAAGGCGAGGACGGTGGGTCGGAGACGGAGCATGATGGGCGGTGCTGGGTTTACCTGATGAAGTCGTTATCGTCAAAGAAACAAAAGAACCAAATCACAATCTTGGAAGCAGTCTAGGTTGAAGGTTATGAGGACAAGGTTGAAGACTCCATCGTCTTTACTGGTTCAGACGTCATGTTGCCGTCTTGGAGCTGATGTTTGGCTCTTTCCTGATAATAAATGAGTGTTATCGAGGGTGGTTTGGGTTGGAAGTAGGTAAGGACGAAGAAGTCAGTCGGCATGGTCCCGAGAAACATGTTGGCTATGAAGGTAAGCACGAGAAGGCAATCGTCCGGGGTAAGTACAAAGTTGAGGAAGGTCGTGACGGCATCCGGTCATTGCAAGGTAACAAACGACCCAGCCGTAGCAGTAAGAACCTGAACACAACTCAACCGTTCAACATACTACCTTTGAAACCTGACTCTATGGTCTCTTCCCCATGAACAAGTGCATTTATGCTTTGCCATGGTGTCCGTGCTCGAGCCGTGGAACACGATGAGACTGGAATCCAAAGCTGTTGTTGAGAAGATGGAGTTTCGGAGAATATGGAATTTCGAACTAGTGGTAAACGAGAAGTGGGACAATATAAACATGGCAAATGACAAACCCGTAACCGGCACTTTTTAACATCAATTCGAATCCATTGAGGTTTGTCAGCGTCCGTCTTTACACGAGACGAGCTGACACGAGAAGAAACGAGTAGACTAGCAGGCGGGGTCACAAGGAAGGCATTCACGAGGTGCTAAACAAACTATGCGCTAACAATTCACAATGCGCACCAGTCTGGTAGGGGCAGCTTTGCCCACCACTAGGTGATTCACCTACCTGTAGGTATTGATCCGAGGACTCG